CTCGAGCCGGACTCTAGGACAGACTTTCCATAGCTCTTCAGCAATTAACTTCGTATCAGATCTTATGATCGCTTTCAGCTATCTTCCCTGAGAACCTCTTTGATAAGACTACGAGTGATCACCGAAGCCTTTCCTTACCTTACGACTTACAGACATAGCTTCCCTGAAGCTATCCCCGACTACGAATACTGTTACCAGTTCCGCAGCCTCAACTTCTGCAAACAAACCTCACTACGACTAGCTGGCCGTAACACTATTATTCTAGAAATTAACTAGTATATAACTTAAGAGTCATAGCCTGGGTATATATTAATTTACATCTTATCTCTAGTTATAGCCTATCTAGGGATCCTAGATCAATACTATATCGATCTAATCCGCCCAGCAGAGCTCTAGGAGAGCTGTATAAGCTGGGCTTCTCTTCCCCACGTTACACTAGGCGACTCGTAGTACCCGTGGGGAGGCTGGCCTGAGCCTACTGCTCTAAGTCGAGGTCGAGGTGGGTATAGGCATTAATAACGTTGTAATCAGGCTTCTGCGCCACCCGCTGAGCCATGCTGCTTGAGGTAGCTAGGGTAGGTTGGCTGGGTAGGAGGGGTAGGACTAGGTCGTCAGGGGCTTGCAGCCCTTCTGCTTCAGCCCCATTCTCATCTTTATCTATACTACTACAACTAGCCGTATCACTAACGTCCGCTATAATAATTAAGTCCTAGGTAGGGGTAAGGGCGCGTAGGCGCTTTAAGCCGGGCTAATAGCTCGTTAGGCTATTACTAGGTTGCTAGGTATTGCTAGCTTAGGTACTAGCCTAGCTACTCTAATAAAGGGCCTTATAGGCCTTCTAACTATCCTTACGGACCCGGGAGAGTTCCTTCCGGTCTAGGAAGGTAGGGGAGCCATTAGCCACTAGGGGCCTTACTAGACAGTCCTTATGGTTAGCTTAGAAGGGGCCGGAGCAGTTGGCGCACTTCGGTCTAGCTATATAGGGCCTAGTCTCGTAGGATCCCGAGGGCCTACTACAGTTACTACAGAGTAGCTATCGGTTATAGTATCGGTTCGAATAATATCCCTAGCATCTAGGGTCATATCTGATTAGGGTCTTCTTTTTTTAAATAAGCTAAGACCTGCTGCTTTAGTTAAATAGTCTAAAGGGTAGTACTTCTATAGAGAAGGAGATTGTTACGGCCAGCTAGTCGTAGGGGTAGTTTGCAGAAGTTGAGGCTGCGGAACTGGTAACAGTAATCGTAGTCGGGGATAGCTTCAGGGAAGCTATGTCTGTCAATCGTAAGGGTAGGTAAGGCTTCGGTGATCAATCGTAGTCTTGTCAAGGTAGTAGCTGAAAGCGGATGTTAATCCTGATACGAAGTTAATTGCTGAAGAGCTATGGAAAGTCTGTCCTAGAGCCCAGCTCGAGTCCATCCTTATATACAAGTCCGATCCTAACTGAACAGTGCTGTACAGTCCACTTTGTCTGGATATGTTGGATATGCCGAATATCCAACATATCCTTGACTCGGTTGGATATGTCGAATATCCAACATATCCTTGACTCGGTTGGATATGTCGCATATCCAACATATCCTTATCCCTTATCATATCTCTTATCATCACGTGACTTGTACCATAGTTCTTCCGTTCCTGGGGTTTCCCCAATGTTCCGTCCCGTCCTGCATATATGATGCGCCGTAGCCGCTAGGCGTCAGCGGGGCACGCCCTGGTCTTCATGTTGGGTCGTAACAGAGATGACCTAAGAAACTTCGTTTATAATAAGGTTTATACTTAGCCGGGACTGCTAGGCCCGGGTAGGTTTACGTCCTATTTAAGTAAGGACCTTATCTTCTACTAAAGTAACTAGGTTAAGGGCGTCGCTATCAAGAGTCTATATCTTAGTAAGGTAACGTAGGACGACGTAAGTAAATCATTTAGTAGGGGTCTTAACCTTATAAGCTCTAAAACACTCTACTAGTTTCTATTTATTTATAAAGAGGGCTTGCTAGACCTGCTTATTCAGGGGTCTCAGTAAGTAGCCAGTTACAATATAATAGATATAGTTATAGGATGGGAATTGATATACCGGCGTCGCAAATTGATAGACCGGCGTCGACCTTACACCGGCGTCGCTGTTCGACCTTTTGATTGGCTCAAAAAAACAATACCTCCCCATAAAGGCGGTGAGGGTGACTGCATTAACATGGCTGTTGGAACAGCAAAGGCTGATAAGGAGTAATAGGCAGGTACCATGGGCTGGCTGGCACCTGCCCTGGGCGAAGTGGGACAACTGGCTTAGTCATCACGGCCGGATACAGGTGGGGCAACCACCCAGGCCGTCACTACCTACTTCGACCGACTCCTGCCTACAATGTAAGATAGAAAAACAAGAAGAACAAGCAATAGGATCACCAACAGACGAGTGATAATTGCTACCACTATTTGTCGTATACGACCCCGTGGAACCAACAGTTGGGAATAGCCTCAGTTGTTTGGTTTGTTTGGAAGTTTGATTGGTAGATTGGCTTTAGCGGCAGCGCTGGCCCTAGGTGGCAGAAGGTGAAAACCCACTACCGCTAGCATCAGCTGCTTACAGCCCAGCTTATCCAGCAGTTTAGACCATTAGCACAAGGGCGGCAGAGGTCACGGCCTAGACAGGCTATAGATAAAAGGAATACCTCTATCCCATGGAAACACTATACAAAGAGGTCACGGAAGGTTAATTCCCCTTTATTCTTATTATAGTACTACAAGGGCATTAAGGGCCCGCAAGGCACTAGGCGAGATATCTAGGAATAGCTTCACGCAGCGTAAGTACACCAGGACGGGCTGCTTAGACTACAACGTACCCTTATGTATCCAAGGGGATTACTGGTACCTCTGGCATACGCAGAATATATAGGCAATAGAGGTACTGTAACCCTATTGGTTAACTTAATAGATTTACAGCTTCTTATTGGCTCTACCCCGCCCTTGGCTAAAATGGCGTCAAGTGGCACTCGATGGGATACTGGTGAAACGAGTGGCTTCAACTTCATATGTAATTCAATTGGCTGACATGACGTAATGTTGTTCAGACCCTCCCCCGCATTGAAAGTCCCGCAATCGGCGTTCAAGAACGAAAATCAAAACATAAAGACAACCGGATCAAGAGCCTCAAGACTAGTTTAGACAACTTGTCGTTATCTCAAGCAAGATTATCAGCGTTTTCATTTACAATGGCACCCCCTGTCTGCAAAAAGACGTTCAAGCTGAACAACGGTACGAGACTCATCGCGCGACGAGAGCTGAGACGCATCCCATGAGTGTTCATGAGCTGACCAACCTTCTCTAGGCCTCGAACTCCCTGCCGTCGGTCTAGGAACATGGCAAGGTATAGAGAGCCCTCATATCGAACGCATTCCACAGAGTCTGACAGCCCGAAGGCACTCCAGGATCAGATGACTCCAAGGCTATGGAGGAGTCCGTCATACACGCCCTCAACGCCGGATACCGTCTCATCGACACCGCCCAGCTCTATGGCGTCGAAGACGTTGTAGGCAAGGCCATTCGCAACAGCGGCATCCCCCGTGAAGAAATCACCGTCGTCACCAAGTTCTGGGGCGAGTGGCACCACGACCCGGCGACGGCGCTTCAGATCTCGCTGGACACCATGGGCCTCGACTACATCGACGTCTTCCTCATGCACTGGCCGTGGGCCACGACTCCGGCACCGGAGAAGAAAGTCTTGAAGAAGTGGGAGAGCCCGACCTTCATCGAGACCTGGAAGTTGATGGAGAAGCTGGTCGGTCCCAAGTGCAGGTCAATCGGCGTCAGCAACTTCATGCCCAAGGTCATGGATGAGCTGCTTAAGGAGGCCACGATTGTGCCTGCTGTCAATCAGGTTGAGTTGCATGCCTTCAACCCGAACCTGAATCTCGTACCTTACTGCAAGGAGAAGGGCATCGTTGTCACGAGCTGGAGGTGAGCATTTCCAATCCATCGAATGAGGGAACATTGCCACGTTGGAAAAATGAATAGGATGCTAACCGAAATAGCACGATGGGTGGCTCGCGTCCATCCCAAAATGAGATCCTCAACCACGAGCTCTTCACCAGCATCGCCAAGGCACATGGTATCTCCGCAGGCGTGGTGTCCCTTTCCTGGTGCGTCCAGCGCGGCATCGCAGTCATCCCAAAGAGCGCCAAGAAGGAGCGCATCGAGGAGAACATCCGCCTTGTCACCATTACCGAGGAGGAGATGAACAAGATCAACGAGGCGCACAAGACAATCAAGAAGGAGAGATTCTCCAACGGCATTGCGGTGCAGCACATGGAGATTGATGGAGTGATGACCCAACAGGGCTGGACGTACGTCGATATGGGCTACGAGGATGAGAACGGCAACTGGCTGGCGTAAGATGGATGCAAGAGTGTTGCTTGGATTTAAGGGGCGCAGGGACTCGGTGTAAAGCCCAAATGAAACCTGAATACACATTCGCCGCTCCAGTCCGATTTTCATCCGTAATTCCGTTGATCGTATCAGTACGCTTACAAATCTATGGGTCGTTTGCTCATGTTGTACGCAGAGCCAAGCCTATGCTTTCGTCACCGAAAACGCCTATAACTGTTCATGTCAGCGGAGTTAGACTAAAACCGGGGAGGTAGCCAACTTATGTGCTGCTGCACTAACGTACGCAACATGGCTAGTTCTGCACCAACCCAATGAGACCCCTTCTACGAGCATCTTTACGTTTTTTTACAGATCAAAAGCTAATCACTATAAACTAACGCTGAGGTACCGAAACTTTGGATAGCTCAGATGAAATAAAGCAAGCTGCCCTCTGACGGGCCGACTTACTCATAGTCCGTCGCGTCCAAGATAAAGCAAGTGAGTGAACTAAGCCAAGCCATGCCTGGCCATAGCACTCTGAATCGGGGAGTGGACCGCTAGCGTCGCAGCGAAAAGCATAAAGTTAACCACAGCAGCCTCTTCATATTTCTACTAAACTTCCCCTCAATATCGAGAAATTGAACAACCCATAATCAGTAGAAGCCGCCAGGATGGCCGGGTCGCCTCAAGAACAAGAGCTATCATTGACGAGGACAGGATCCTCGTCAGCGTCAGAGATCATCCCAGTATCATTAGGACAATTGCCAGCGCAAAGTGAAGCCCTAGAGTCGGCGGAAGATTGGACTGGCCTGACGTCAAGCAAAGAGCGGAGGAAACTTCGAAATCGACTGAACCAGAGAGCACGCCGTTAGTTCACCCTGTATTCCTTGACTTACCAGAAGTTGTTGAACACGGTCTAACTGAACGGTGTGCATCTAGGCAGAAGAATGAAGCGAGAAGTCTTTCGTCAAATGAGTCAACTAGAGGGAGTGATTAATGACACCATAGCGGAAGCAGAATCATGCGGCCGTCTGCAGAATGGTACCACCGGAGATGAAGGCTACTCACTCCTAACATGCCCCAAAAGAAGGAATGAGTTGATGGTACTCGCACAAGAAGCACGAAGGAACTACTCACTAGGAACTCCGGCGCCCCGACAACTCAGCGCCCTCGTCAAGCTCAACCTGCTTACTGCGCTATGGCGGAATACGAAGATATTGGGCTTCAACGTACACTCCATCTGCGAGGACGAATTCATTTCTCCGCACAATCTGCAAGGCCCGGATCTCCCCTGCTATTCTCGCCAAGAGCTCTCGTGGCCTCCATATTTGCGTCCAACGAAAGCGCAGAAAAAGATTGCACATCACCCTTTCCTTGACGTGTTCCCATTCCCTTCGTTGAGAGAAGCCGGGATCCGGGCCGAAGAACTTGGTTTCTTTGATGAAGACGACTTTTGCCTCGACATCTTCCATCTCGATGACAAAAAGGACGGCGTGGAGCGACCACACATGATAGTCTGGGGCGAGTCTTGGGATCCCCGGGGCTGGGAAGTCAACGTTGCGTTCCTGAAGAAATGGGGCTGGATGGTCCGAGGCTGCCCAGAGTTGCTAGAAGGCACGAATTACTGGCGTGAGAGAAGGGGCGAAAAGAAGTTGAACTTTAAGCTCAATGACGGTTAGTCAGGGTGGCCAGCGGAATATGCATATGTGAGTGAGCAGAAAAGAGCGTCTATTCGTACTAAAGAGTGGATGGAATCACCACAGGCTTGTGGGCCTAATGCTATCCTAATGTCGGATTGGAAGTCCAATTCGGCCGCGAGTAGGGGCAGAGCATGGGCCACCTCGAGGTGGTACACTTAGACCTCGACTACCCACCCAACCTCCGGTTGGAATCTCCCTTCTACTCCTTACGCAGAATCAATGAATACAGAGATATTGATACTTCGTCACCCCCAGGACCCTACGGTTCGAACCAAATTCCCTGTGAAAGGAATACCAACACCTAATAAGTCTTGCAGAGCTAGGACCAGGTGGAAATGACAGTCTGGCCTGTTTCGTGATGGTCAGACCATTCCGAATGGGTTATGTCCATGACTCGCATAGGAGCATGCATGGATTCTGTCACTCAACCAGTGATGGTTGTAGGGTATCAGAGCAATACGCATCATTGGGCATATACTTTCATCAATTGTGTACAGGTAGAGCACATCAATCTTCAGAAATCACAATAGGGGTACGGGTAAGGATTACATATACAGAATGCTTCAACTAAATCGAGATTGGTTTGAATATTGTTCAAGACTAACCTTGCTACATATCAACTGTAAGGTACATGGTCCAAATTTCCATAGAAACCATTGAGGCTAACCAATAGTAGTTGAACGACTTCCCATCAAGCCCTTAAACAGAATGTGTCGTATCGTCACAATGTGGGCATCGAGATTTGTGATAGAGAACGATTATCCATTGAAAGTAGAGAATAGGTACGAGGCTCGCTCTGAAATAATGATGATGATGATGATGTATTTAACGTCTGGTAACAAAAGGACGTACCGGGCGCTATGCCGACATGGTCTATGCTAATTTAAACTATATTACAGGCTACCGTCTTCACCTAACGTTCCTATTCAATGACTCGGGCAAATTTCGGAAAGGAAATTGGTCTCCTCTATCCATTCGCATAGAAGAGAGGCTCCCTTAGCAGAACCTAATAAGAAATTAATGCTTACTTTGGCCATATGTTAGCGGAGGTAGCGCGGTATAGCCTTGCGTCCACGCTTGCAGAAATAGAAATAGACTGGTGTCTTGGGTTTCCCACAGCTACAGCTAAGCAACGCATCTTGATAAGCGAATCTCTCGTGGTATGCTGCAAAGTCTCCATAATAGGATCTTGCTGCGTATAGCCTTCCTAGTAAGTACCGAGGGAGGCGGAGTTCGGGCGGCTTAGGGTGAAGAATTATCTCGAGGTCAGCATATTGCCGAGGGCATTGGGACAGCCATTTTCTGGCAAAGGCTTGGAAGGTAGCTACTTTAGCTTGCCTTTCTAGGTACGCTAATAAGGGCTGTGGTTATGATTTTGGGATTAGTTTGCAGGCTTCCTTGGCTAGAGCATCCGCTTCTTCATTTCCTGGTACTCCCGTGTGCCCAGGGCACCACCAAACATAAACCCTGCCGGGGGTTGTCCAGCTCTCTCTTTGTCTCCGAGTCCAGGAGGAAGAGAGCCTATTGAAGGCCCTAAATCTAGCCTGGCTGCTTCCTGTGCTCTGGGAGTATAGTCTAGCCGCGACTGCGAGGTTATCGAGGTAGATGTGGACGTTATCTGCTATACGAGCCGTAGGAGCCCGGGTGGCTTCCATCAGGCCGTAATACGTAGCATGTGCCTCCGCGTTATACACCTTAGTTTGGGAGCCGAGTGGTTCGGATCCGCGGAAGATCTGCCGTGTAGCTTAGTACCCTACCTAGCCTGCTCCGGCGGAGGTACTGCTGCCGTCCGACATCTGGGACCCGTTAGTGTAGATAATAATGTCCTGCTTAGAGAAAGTTGCTATCCTGCCTGCAAAGGAGAGGGCCTGTTCTTCTTTGGTCTTATTAGGTTCGTAGCCGACCCTGGCGAGGGCTGTCTGCCAGTCCGCTAGTTGCTCCCAAGGGGGGAGTTTTAACGGATCGATGTATTCGGTATTTTTGCTTACGAGGCTTGCTATTCGTCGTAGCCGTGAGTCTGGTCCTGATTTGTCCCTGAGTCTCGTTCGGAGAGGGTGTCGCTCGTCCAGACGATGGATTCTGGTGGACGCTATGTAGAGCTTTGCGTCCAGTATCACCTCTGCTGGGGGTAGAGCCGCCTCGCGCTATAGGATCGGTACAGGCGTAGTTCTGTATACGGGGACCATCGCTCTAATGGCTTTAGTTTGCGTCGCGTCCAGTTGGTATAGTAGACTACCAACCCCGTTTGAGATAGTACGTCCATTCTTTATCCGGCTCTTACCGGGCCACCATACTTCAGATACATAGTACTGAATAGGTAATATATAAGAGGTGATCGCTCGACGAAGTAAGTACGTAGGCGCGCCCTAGACAGTATTCCTTAGTCCCCATAGTCCATTGACTACTTAATATGCTTTTATAGAGAGGTTTCTTACGTAACTCTTGAATGTAAGTTTACGGTTAAAGTGAACGCCGAGCCAGTATAGAGAAGAGCCTTCTTTAATAGCCTGAACTATATAATACCTCCCATCCGGCAAACCTACTATAATTAATGGGTTTCCGTTTTTTCGTCTCTTAATAAAGTGTATTAGTTCGGACTTATCGAGGTTAAAAGTAATTCCTTCCGTCGCGCCCCATCCTAAGGTTTCTTTCCATTCCTTAGTTAGGATATCATAGTTATTCTCTAGTGATATTAAGCTTGCTAAGATAGCGACGTCATCGGCGTAGCCGAAACGAGATCGCTTCCTTCCTAGGCGAGCTATGCCTAGCTTAAAAAGAGGTTTAATATAGAGCATAAATAGAATGGGAGACACGGGTGAGCCTTGTGGTAGTCCGTATTCGAGACCGAAGACATCTCCTACCTCCCCATCAAGCCTTATTCTTGCTCTCCTTCCGGTAATAAAACTTAAGACCTAGCGTACGAGGTTCTCCGGCCATCCTTGTTCGTAGAGGCGTCGGACTAGTCGTCCTGGGAGTACGGCGTCGAAAGCCCCTTTTATATCGAGCGTAAGTATAGAGGTAACCAGGCCTCTTTACTAGGCGTACTCGATATCGTGGATGGCCGCTGCGATGAGGTCGCTATAAGAGCGAAGAGGGAGTGCTCCAAACTGTTGATCGTATAGAACACGATGTTTAACTACGATCTAGGTAAGTCGTTTAGCGATAAGTCTCTCCAAGTCTTTTCCGAGGACGGCCAAGAGCGCAATTGGCCTATAGGAGCGCGGGAGTGTCTTGTCTCTTTTTCCCGGTTTTGCTAGGATCACGAGAGTTGCTTCTTTAAAATAAGTAGGATGCTAACCCTTGCGTATATACCCGCTATAAAGTGAGAGGATAATATCCTTAATAACTGGCCATGCTATTTTCAAAGCAGTCGTAGTGATTCCGTCGGTCCCAGGAGTCGTGTTTCCCGCGGTGAGAACCGAAGACCGTACCTCGTCCTTCGTAACCTGTGGGAAAGGAAGCGTAGCTTGCCTTTGTAGGACTGGGCTTTCTGTTGGTATGTCCTTGGAGATTGCAGCGTTTCTAAGGAGGACGCGGGTAAATAAGTCGCGCTTCTCTTTTGGTTATGAGACAAGCGTGTCTTGGTTATCTACATCTCGGATTGGCGGGGTCTGAAAGGATCCTGTGGCTTTGTGCCAACCGACCATTTCAAATATATCTTTGCCTAAGGAGGCTGAGGAGATCTTATCTTTCCAAAAGGCATCCTTAGAGCGTTTAAACTCGTAAAGGAAGTCCTGTTTTAGAGCTTCGACCTCCTCTTCTTCCTATTAGTAGTTCACTCCGGCTGCGCGGAGTCTTGCTAATATCGCTCGCTTACTCGTATAGGCTCGGTGTTTACGTATGTAGCTCTCGCTCCAGTATGATCTCCCTATACCTTTCCTAAGCGTGCGCTTTGTGGAAGCCGTAAGTACTTTAATAAGATAGTCCGTTTGCTGTTGTGCTAGGAGATCTAAAGACTGTGGGTCTTGGATGTTGCTTATAGTGCGGCGTATGGGTTGTAAGTTACGTTTAATGATGCCGAGGAAAAGCTCCTCGTCCATCGTGTCGAGCCGAAACCTTCCCGGGGTCTGGCTAGGTGAATCGATCAAGGCCAAGGGGACCCGGGTAAGCAGAGATTCGTGGTCTGATGTCGTGTATAGTGACGTTTCTATACTAGTAGAAGCCCCATAGAGGTTACTAGACGCCCAGCATAAATCTAGGGTATTGCCGCCTTTGTGCGTGGGTTCACCTATAGGTGACATTAGGACAAGGCTAGCGGCTTCTGCCCATTCTACTAGGTTTTCAGCGTCCGGGGAACTCGTGGCCTCGGGCTGCCACGTCCAATGGTATAAGTTAAAATCCCCCGCAATCAGTACTCGATCCTCAGGTTTGGGTTGCCAGGCCGCTAGGATGTTCCTGAGAGCCTGGCCAGATCGTAGAGAGCTACGAGGGGCGTTATATACGTTGATGACTATAAGGACCTCCTTCGTTCCTGAGAGGAGTCGTAAGAAGAGCAGGTCTGTGGATGGATCGGGTAGAGGCCGTATTTATACGCCTCGTACCCTAGTTCCTCTGCGGAGGTAGGTAAGTACCCTGGGACGGTCTTCGGTCTAGTTATCTACTGGGGTGAAAGTCTTAAAACCTGGGTGGTGTCTTGTGAGCCTCCTCTCCTCCGAACGGATAGACGGCTCTTGTATTAGGAGTATATCGATCTGGGCTACGTAAGCTAGGTTTAGTGCTGTTTCGTGGGCGGATGCCCGCCTGCCCATATTCGCTTGCATAATTTGCAGGGTTTTAGAGGGCTGTATTCTTCTTTTGTGTCTTATTCGCCGGGGTATAGTCTATCGCTTGTTCTTCTTTACGGGAATGTCGATGCGACTGCTGGGTCGCATTTCTCTATAATCTTTCTCCCTCAGCTCGGATGGCCCGTAGCTGAGCCTTATCCCTCCTCTGGACTACCCCCTTCACTACTTTGGGTTGGATAGGGCAAGTCGCATCGAAGGCGGCGTGAGGCCCGTTACACGACGGGCATTTAAAGGGGCAGTCGCAGCCATCGTAACCCTCAGTGCCGCCGCAGGGTGCCCGGTGTTGATCAGTTGTGTGGGAAGGAGAGCTGCACTTGAGGCATCTCTTCCTTCTGGTGCACGTTCGTTCGTTGTGAAAACCGCCGCAGCGGAGACATTGAGGAGACCTCTTCTCCTTCGGGAACTGCAGGTTTACAAAAACGCTGGCCCTTATTAAACGGAGGCGTCTTGGTAGTTACCTTACGGCTTCCGCCTTGAACCAGGCTGTCACCGTGCCTAGCCTTTCGACTTCGTCCTTCCTAAAGAAGTATGCTTTTTCAGGCTTGAGTTTCGTCGAGACCTGGATCTCTTCAAGGAGCTCCTCGGTCGTGATTTCCAGCTTAATATTAGTTACTAGACAATGCCTGGTATAAGGGACGTTTGCGATATAGGCTCGGATCCAGGTATCGCGTTACTCGATCGCTTGCGCTTAGAGAAGGGCAACGATCTGTTCTCTATTCTCTAGTAGGACTTTTACACTATCCATTAACGAAGGTAGGAGTGCTAATCCTGTCTTAATATAGTCGATCCCCTTAAGGGCTTCTCGGGCTTGGGGACTTAGCCTTTCCCGAACAAAGATGTATATGTCGTAAGCTTTCTCGTTCCGAAGCGGGCTTTCAGGCGATAGACGCGCGAAGACGCATAGATCCTTTAAGGCCGCCCGGTTTATAGCTTGTTTTACGCCTTGTTTGGCTAGCGTTGGTTCATCCTATCTTCTGGACAGTGGCTAGCTCGCCGCCGCCGCGTATAAACGGACTAGGGGCGGCTGGTTCTGGGTTATGTACGAGGGATGCCCCTGGGAACTCAGGTCAGTCTCGCTAGGCCCTGTGCCAATAGCGTACATAGACCTTACTATACCACGTTAATACCGGTTTAAACGCTATTTCTCCTCCTGAAGTTCTCTCTCCAAAGATTCGATCTTCGTCAAACAGTCTTTCAAAAACTGTTCCCTCTCGGCGTCCCGACGTAGGAGGTCCTGGACAAGATTCAAAAGCTTATTGATCTCGTCTTTAAGCTCAGAGTTGTCCTGGTGGTTAACCTGCTCAACCACTCTAACCTTTACAGTCGGCTTCCGGACTCGTCCCGACCGCCGAGATATACCGGCGTCCCCGTGAACCGTGATCGATGGCCCTACATCTAGGGAGACCGCCATGGTCGTGGAATTCAGCTCGTATGGGCTGATGTTGAGAGATGATAGTGCAGTGGGCCGTAGCCCTTTATAACCTTAACAATTACTAACAGTGGGTACCTTTCGAGGTATGTGTTCAGAAGTTCTCCATCCGCTTTCAGCTATCACCTTGACAAGACTACGATTGATCACCGAAGCCTTACCTTACCTTACGATTGACAGACGTAGCTTCAGGGAAGCTATCCAGACTTACGACACTGTTACTGAGTATCGCAGCCTCAACTTCTGCAAACATACCCCTACGACTAGCTGGCCGTAACACTTGACCTGCTCGTAACACTTATGTGAAAGAATTTATTAATTTTAGCCTTATGTTAACTAACTAACTAACTAGTTAGTTAGTTATTCGATTTTTAATAAATAGGTAAATAATCGACCTTTAAGGTGCGATAAGGGAGTGGCCCACTCGCTTATTGTTGGTTCCACGGGGTCGTATACGACAAATAGTGGTAGCAATTATCACTCGTCTGTTGGTGATCCTATTGCTTGTTCTTCTTGTTTTTCTATCTTACATTGTAGGCAGGAGTCGGTCGAAGTAGGTAGTGACGGCCTGGGTGGTTGCCCCACCTGTATCCGGCCGTGATGACTAAGCCAGTTGTCCCACTTCGCCCAGGGCAGGTGCCAGCCAGCCCATGGTACCTGCCTATTACTCCTTATCAGCCTTTGCTGTTTCAACACTTATCATGTAGGTTAATGGCGTAATGGTTCATCTCGTCAAGGTTCATGTGGTAATAGTATGAATATCTTCAAGACTCAGTCACGCCTATGAATGGCTTTCATTGTCTTATTGCAATGTTCACAACCACATTCAATCATAGTCCCCGACCATGCCCCCAAAAAGCTCACAGGTGGACGGTGTAGACAGATTTGCATCATGACTCAGCTTCATTGGATTGATCGTGAGTAGTGTACTCTAGTGAGATGACCACTTCAGGTTCACCATCCCTCATCTTTCCGCAGCACTTTCTCATAAATTGAATATCTTCTCCCCCGAAATTAACTTTCCCCAATGACTGAAGCCGTTCAAACAGTTCTCATTAAATTCACTGTGCCTTGAAATTCAACGCAGTTGCTTGGCTTTCACATAACTCCAAATTTTCCAGTGCTAGTGGGCCATTTTCTCATCGAGACTTCGGGGATTCAATGGTGTCTCCAGGCTTGGTAGCCGAGATGGCGATGTACCTCCAGCGACCCTTGCCCCGGTAAGTCTCCACACCAGCGACGGTGTTGATGAAGTAGCGCTCGAAGCCGAACGCCTTGATGACGATGTAAGGGATGATTCCAAGGAGGAAGAACAGACGGCACAGCGGGCGAATGTTCTCGGAGAAATCGCGAACCTCGACGTCCACGAAGCCCGCTTCCTCCATGAGCTGCTTGAAAACGCCCGGATGCGACCGGTCGTTTGTCGGCATGGCGGCATACTCGTTGATTTTGCGCATATTGTCGGCCATGACTTCCGGAGAGTCCCCGATGAATTCGTGGTCGTACTCAAAGTTGGCGAGATGGCCGCCGGGCTTAAGCAGTCGAAAAAAGCCCCCCAGGACAGTCTCCGGGTCCGTGGCGTGAACAAGAGTCTCCATGGTATAAATGCCATCAAATGACTCGCTTGCCAGCGACTCTAAGTGGTGGTAATCCCTCCTGTTGACAGTCACCTGGTTCTCGAGACCAGCCTTCTTGATGGTCTTCCTCGCCCTCTCTACATGGCGCTGGACGACATCGAATGCCTCAATTCGGAGGCCATGCTTGCTGGCGAGGTGTTTTGCAACATGCCCATTTCCACAGCCAGCATCCAGCACCGTTGATCCATTGGGCAAGTTCAGGACCTCAGCCATCTTGTCCTCCATGGCCCGCAGGCCGCGACCAAGGGGGAAGGGGAAGTAGGTGTCATTCTCCCAGTAGCCGAAGTGCCGTGTTCCTCCCAGAACCAGGCGGTAGCCGATACGGGACTCGAGCGACGCGTAGTAGGATTGCAGCACCGGGTTAGAGTTGATGAGAGGCTCCGTCTCTGTGGTCTCGGTGGAGGAGGCCATTATGAGTCCGATTCGACTGTGAACTGACGGGAAGATTAATCGCGGGGGCGGGTCTGATGTCTTCAACAACTTTGTCTGCTGTAGGCTTGAAATGGTTCTCAGGGCAAGACGAATGTTTTCAAACAAAAAACGAAGGCCGCAGAAACGAGGGGGAGGAAGAGATTCAGGACGCAGCCTGATGGCGAAAAGGGACACGCAACGAGTGAGAATGGGTGGGTGACAGAATTCGGAATTGTACCTGTTGGAATAGGCCTACATTAGGCAGCAGGAGGTTGCTGCCGCGGTCCGTTCCAGCCACGGTGGTCCGTGTGGCTCAGCCACACGAGGGTGGTATACCCCAGACTTCCTGCCGCCGCTGGCACCTGGTTAGACTTCCACTAAAGAACAACAAGAACAAGCAATATCACCACTACAGTCGGTGATCGTTGCTACCCACGATACTCGAGTATTTTCCTTTTCCACCTGTGAATCCAACAGTACCGTTGCGCCATATACAAAAGAGAGATCCCTCTACTGCATTTAGGTAGTTGTGGGTACATATAGTTTCCGTCAGTGGGCTGGATGACGGGCGGCTATCCGCGCCGTCGCTGATTCGCTCGTTAAGAGACACCCCAGCCCGCGTCGAGAGCGCGAAAAGCAACCCTACGCTTCATGGCGCGACTTTATTGGTCTTGGCCTGCTGTGATTATTTAGGCCAGGATGCAGAGCGGCCTGCGTGAGTTCATCACCATCAGGCACATATCTCAAATTGAAGGCCCCCCTCGCAGTGACAGAACCAAGAACAGGCTGCAGCAACCATCAACACGACGGAAATGACTACACCTCAGCGGCTGGAGGTGGCAACTGTATCCGAGTTGCTGCAGATTTGGCCCCCAAAACCAAGTATCGGCTGCGTTTCGCTGCTCTCGAAATAGCATGCCTGTAAGCACACTGCAAGGGTGTTTACACTTGTTGGTGCCAGCCTAATGGTGAGAGATGCCCGGTTTTGGGGGGGGGTCGCCCGCTGTTATTCTGCTTACCTTTCTCCTCCTTTCTTCTATTTAGCTACCGATTGCCCATCTTGTTGGTTTAGGATTGCAGTTCGCCCGTGGCGTTGCTTTGAGAGCTTGAGTTTTAACCACGCATTGCGTTGCAACACTCTTACGGCAGCAACAACTACCAAAATCTGCCTAACAGTGGCAAAAAACCAGCCTAAGACAACGACAACGACGATTCTAAGCCCAAATAGTGGCTCAGAGCCCCCTTGCGCAGCCCCAGATGGCAGATCCGAACACGCACCCGTGGGGTTACTATTGCGGCAACTCAACAGACTCGTCGGCCAACGGAACGATCGATATTTGGAAGCCTGTGTGCGGTTGGGTGAGTGCAGGCAACGACAGAGGGACCATCGACATTCTTTGGTCCAGTAACCTGACCATCTTGCTTTGTGTCTGGGTAGCGACTCATCCCAACGCACTGGGGCACGGAGAAAAGTGGTGGCACGCTGCCATCGACAAATTCAACCTTGCCGCTATCGGCCTTCTCGGACCCGACTTTCTTTTTGGTATTGCAGTTGGACAGCTTGCTAGTGCTAGAAAAAGTGTCAAGGTTCGTTGCATGCAGGTGCACATTGAGAGCGGTGGGGGGAGGGGGGTGTTCTCGATGTGCTACGTTTGCTAACCATTGCTGTTACAGGAATTCAAGGAACTCCCCAAGAGAATACGTGGGGATAATAAATGGACAATAAAGCATGCATTCTTTGTAGACATGGGAGGAATACATCTGAAGAGTCCCGATTACGGACGTTTTCCGATCAACGCTGCACAATTACTCTACTTGATTAAAAACGAATACGTCGTCTATCCAGACATGGAGGCAATGGCGATCTCTGAACGCAACAGTGTCGACGCTCTTTCCAGGTACGACGGATAAACTATTGGTTCCTCGTCCATACTAGTACTGACATGGATCTTGGAACAGAATCATTACGGTATGGCAGGCCATCTTGTTCTGCATCAAAGAGGGGGATCGACTCCGGCTGGGTTTTCCCATCACCCCTTTAGAGCTAACTGCTCTTTCGTTCACCTTTGTCATGTTTTCAACTTCTATTTGCTGGTTCTACAAGCCTACCATAACATGTCCACAAGACATTGAAACTGAAACTGCGATTGAATTCATCAGGAAGAAAGCACGACAGACTGTAAGCTCGCAATTTCCTTAACTATCATCGTCATGGGTTTGATGGCTGAGGCCAAGAATAGACACACCCCAATCTACCTCACGAGTGGTTCCAGACTCCTTTGGCCTTTATTAGTCGTCAGGAGTTCAGGATCGCCACGCACTGGTCGTACTACACAAGATTGTGTGACATGATGCACCTCCATCTATTCGTGTGGCCGATGGATATGTCGCCAACCGTATTCAGGCCGTATATAAAGCGTCCTTGCAACTTCCCTCTCGCCTAATTTTTCTTGGCATCTACTGTTAGTGTAATAAGTGGGCTACCACCAAAATCCTTAACAGCTGAAAACCCTTCACCTCTCCTCCGGCGCCCTCCCGCGATGGCCTCGCAGCCTCCGGCGGGCTCTGGACCGTTGCCGACCTCCTCGGCCGGCCTTGATCGAGGCTCTGGACCCTCTTCAGAGCCGCCCCCATCCTCAAGGGCTAAACGCCGCCGCGAAACCGAGGCCCAGCCACTCCGGCCCAGCCTCGTGGGAAGCCAGCCCGACGCCCCAACAACAACCCCCTTAACGGCTAAGGGGCCCTCGACTATGACTGGGACAGCTACTGGAGCTGTCCTTACAGCTCTTAATGAAGAGGCTAAGCACCATGAAGCCCGAAAGGACGTCTTTATGGCTATTGCTCAGTCTGTGGACAACGTGATCTCTTGCTTTGAGGGGCCTAGGAAGCAGATTGCAAAAGAAGCTACAACCTATGTAATCCAAGCCTTGAAGAGGATTATGGGTAACGAGACTACGGCTCCGGCTCCGAGCCGGAAATGGACTGACGTGTAGCCTCGGCTTCAACTACAGCCGTGGCCGTAGCCCCGACCCGTACCCGAATCCCCACCCGGCCCGAAGTCCAGACACAGAGTCTGACGGAGACCCGGGCCCAGGCTCTATCCCAACCGAAGGAGGACCTCCGGGTCTTTACCCGTATCCCAGAAGAGGGCCTAGCGGCTGCTAGGAAGCACGCCCCCTTCGCCCTACGCCGGACAGTCTGCCAGGCCCTTAGGCTCCAGCTGGCAGATATCCCACACATCTACCATATTGCAACTGGCTACTCACTGAGACCCCTGAATAAGCAGGTCCAGCAAGCCCTCCTTGCAAACAAACAGAAACTAGCAGAGTGTCTCGGAGCCTATAAGGTTGAGACCCCTACTAAGTGGTTTACCTACGTCGTCCCACGTTGCCCTGCTAAGATGTGGACTCTTGATGGCGACGCCCTTGACCCAGCTACTCTGGTAGAAGATGAGGTCCTTGCCCAAACAGGACGTAAGCCTACCCGGGCCCAGCAGTCCCGGCTAGGTGTAAACCCTATTACAAACGAAGTCTCCTGGGTCATCTCCTTCTCTGTGGAAGTACCACCCTTCAGACTGTTTAACCAAAGCAGCAGGTCTCAGCTTATCCAAAAGAAGAAGACCCTAATCAGACACGACCCTGGATGCCAGGGATATCATTCGAACCGATACTGTAACCGACAGCCGCTCTGTAGCAACTGTAGCAGGCCCTCGGGATCCCACGAGACTGGGCCCTGCATAGCTAGACCGAAGTGCGCCAACTGCTCCGGCCCCTTCCAAGCTAACCATAAGGACTGTCCAGCAAGGCCCCTAGTGGTTAATGGCTCCCCTACCCTCCCAGACCGGAAGGAACTCTCCCGGATCCGTAAGGCTGGTCAGAAGGCCTATGAGGCCCTCTATCAGAGCAGCCAGGCTGGCACCCAAGCCAGCAACACCCAGCAACCTAGCAACAGCCTAACGAGCCATCAGCCCGGCTCAAAGCGCCCACGCGCCCCTACCCCTATCCAGGACTCAATTGTTGTAGCGGACGTTAGTGATGCGGCTAGCTGTAGCAGCATGGATGAAGATGAGAACGGGGCTGAAGAAGAAGGGCTGCAAGCCCCTGACGACCCAGCCCTACCCCCCCTACCCAGCCAACCTACCCTAGCTACCTCAAGCAGCAGGGCTCAGCGGGTGGCGCAGAAGCCTGATTACAACGTTATTAATGCCTACACCCACCTCGACCTCGACTCAGAGCAGTAGGCTCAGGCCAGCCTCCCCACGGGTACTACGAGTCGCCCAGTGTAACGTGGGGAAGAGAAGCCCAGCTCATACAGCTCTCCTAGAGCTCTGCTGGGCGGATCAGATCGATATAGTACTGATCCAGGAGCCCTGGATAGGCTATAGAGATAAGATGCAAATCAACACACACCCAGGCTATAACTCCTATATCCCAGTTGACTTCTGGAACAACAGAGATACAAGACCTAGGGTTATGACCTATATACGCAAGAGTCTAAGACTACAAATACAGCAACAAAGGCCTACCCAAACGAGAGATATCTTATGGGTTAAGGCTGGCAACTTCACTATTATCAACGTATATAGGCCGCCAGGTGAGCCGACAAACCACACGACTACTGCTCTCCTAGGATACTATCCGCCAGAAAGAGCCCTTATAGCAGGGGACTTTAACGCCCGCCACCCTACCTGGGAACCAGGCTCCCCTAGCCGGAATCGGGGGGACGATATTGCAGAGTGGGCTGAAGGCTACGATCTTTCGTTTATTGGGGAGGTTGGGGTCCCTACCCATACTCATAGGCATACCCTCGACCTAACATTCTCAAATATCCCCTTTGCTGAGGCTTATATTAGCCCACACCTGCACCCAGGGGCTGACCACCAAGCTATCACAACAACTATCCCTATAGGCAAGGCCCAGGAACAGAAACGCCAGACTGGCCACCTCTCAGTCCCAGAGTCAGCCCTACCCCGACTTATCGACCTAGTAAGAGCTGGATCCTCAGCCTTACCTACCCTAGGGGAAGTACCTAGTCCAGCAGAGCTGGACACTCTAGCTACCCAACTAGTCAGCCTCTTCTATACAGCTATTCAAGCTGTAGGTAAGAGACGGACAAATCAGGGTAGGGGAGCCCCCTGGTGGACAGAAGAGTGTGCAGAAGCCCACCGAGCTGCTATCGAGGCTAGGCGCCAGCAGGCCCAGGAACCTGGGCTAGTTATACCTCCCCCCATCCTAGAGGAGCAAAAGACCTTCTTAACAACTGTTAGAAGGGCAAAACGCGCTTACTGGACTACTAAGATCGAAGGGCTAAGACAGACCAAGACCTATATAAGATAGTAGGCTGGCGGAAGGCTGGCTTAGCTGTTAAAGGCCCGCCTCTTATAGTGGAAGGTCAGACAATCGACAACAGCTACGATAAAGCCCAGGCCCTACGAAAGGCCTTACTAGAGAGATTTAACGCTACAGACGACTTACCTGGGGACCCTTTCGCTATCCCAGTAGTTGCACGGCGTCTAATGCCCTGGCAGGATGTGGTCAGCATGGAAGAAGTACGCCAGGCTACTCTAACAAAGACTACAACCCCTGGGATTGACGGGATTACTACAAAGTTACTACAACACACCTGGGAATCAGTAGCTAGGCCTATACAGCAGCTCTTCCAGGCCTGTATTCAGGTAGGCCACTTCCCTCGACCGTTCCGCAAAGCAGAAGTTGTCATGATCCAGAAGCCAGGGAAAACAGACTTCTCGAAGACTGGGTCTTGGCGTCCGATATCCCTTTTATCCTGCTTAGGTAAAGGCCTAGAGCGGCTAATAGCAAAAAGGATGGCCTACCTTACTATCCTAGAAGGGGTTGCTAGCCCACAGCAGGTTGGAGCACTACCAGGCAGGGCTGCAGTCGACCTAACAGCCTGTCTGACCCACGAGATCGAGAGGGCTCTAGACTCAGGGCTCACTGCAACTCTTGTGACAATGGACGTTAAAGGGGCTTTTGACTCTGTCCTAAGAAACCGACTTATTATCAGGCTACGACAGCAGGGTTGGCCTAGTCATCTGATTAGGCTGATCTTCACCTTTACCTCTAGCCGAGCAGCCCGGGTCAGGCTAGAGGATACAACTACAGAGGATTTCCCTCTATCCTGTGGGCTACCACAAGGCTCCCCACTATCCCCTATTCTCTTTTTACTATATATAGCGGATATCCTAGCCGACGATCAAGAGCTACGGTTTGGCTATGCGGATGATATAGGCTTAGTAGCTACTAGCCCGTCGCTAGAAGGAAATGCTATAGCCCTAGGCCAAAAGATCACTCATATCCTTAACTGGGGCACTGATAACAAGGTTGCTTTTGACCCAGCTAAGTGTGAGGCAGTCCACTTCAGCAGGAAATATAACCAGACAAAAGACCTACCAGATATACAGGCGACGGGCCTAACTATTAAGGCCTCAACTAAGCCTGTACGATGGCTAGGAGTCTGGTTCGACAAGAGACTCACCTTCCGTCACCATGTCGAAACTAAGGTGGCAGCGGCAAAGAAGGTAGCCCAGTTCCTTCGGCACCTAACAAATACCAAAGGGGGACTCCCAGCAGCCGCAGTACGAAAAGCGGTTATTGCCTGTGTCCTTCCAACAGCCTTGTATGGAGTTGAGACCTGGTATGCGGGCCTAACCAAACCAGCCCTAAACAGCGGCACCAATACTAGCAGTAGCACTGCTTTACAGATAGCTACAGTCGGTACAGGACAGAAGGGCCTGGCCCGTAGACTTAGCAAAGTTATTACAGCAGCAGCAAGGGCTATCCTGCCTGTCTGGAGAACCACACCGACCAGTAGCCTCATCCGAGACGCTGGCCTTCCCACAGCAGAGGTAGCCCTCGAAGCAGCGCGACTACGCTTCGCTATACGCCTGCAGAAGGTTGACCAACAGCATCCCTTGGTCCCAAGGCTGCTGCAGTCAGGGCGGCAACAGACCAGGCTTCAAAGAACAGCTGGCCTTTTACCTAAGTGTCCAAGGCCAGCGCTCCTACAGCCGCAATACCTCCCAGGGTCCTATGAACCTATAGTTACACAGACGAAGGAAGTAGCAGCTAGGATCTTCCAGGCCTGGCTCAAGACTGTGCCAGGTCAGCATACGGTCGTATACTCAGACGGCTCCAAAGCTCCTGACGGAGCTACAGGGTACGGCTTTGTTATCTACCGCAACAATAAACGTATAGCCCAGGGCTGCGGCCGTCTCGGCTTAGCAGAAGTGTTTGATGGTGAGGCGGAGGGGGCGAGGGCTGGGCTCCGACGGGCCCTTCAGACCTCCCAAGGCCAGCCTATACACATCTGCATCGACAATACCAGCGTTATTCAGGGGATTCGCGGTAAGATCCCAGACTCCTCACAAGCGGCCTTCCTCGAGATCCAGGAGGTAGCTAGGATACACGATATACAAACCCATTGGTCTCCTGGGCACCAAGGTATTAAAGGAAACGAAGAAGCAGACAGCCTAGCTAAGGAGGGAACAACTCTACCAGTCCTTAGGGGCCAACTAGCTACTCTATCAGGTATCAAGTGGCTTGCTAAAGAGCGGCCAAGACGCCAATATAGACGATGGTGGAAACAAGAGGCAACTCCCCGCTATACCCGACTAGGGCTCAAGGCTACCCTTGCTTGCCCTCCTGAACTTGGCCTCCCTAGGGCTGCCCTTCATCACCTCCTCGCGGCACGGTCAGGCCACGGGGACTTTGAACAATATCACCAACGCTTTAACCACACGGAAGCACTACTCACCTGCTCCTGTGGATGGGTTAAGGAGGCAGACCATCTAGTCTACTGCCGAAAGACCCTACTGAGGAGGCAACAGTGGCCCACCCTCTACCCCTACAGCCGCCAGGAGCCCGTAGGACCTATAGGGTCCCTCGATCGCTACTTCAAGGGGCTAATCACTGACTCTGAAGGCTTCCAGGCCTTCCTCTGCGTGACAGACTTCTTCCAGAAGATCTGCCCGCGGTACTAGGAAATAGGTCATAACCTATCCTCCAAACGACAGACTACCTCTAATAAGAAACCAGATGGTTATAACGGAACTAGGGCACCAGTGGGAACTAGGGATGGATAGAACACATAGTAGCTCACGAGCAAGATTTGGAGGACGTCAGGAGACGGCGTGTACTATATAGTATATAGCTAGAGCCTGCGACCCTTCACGCCACATACCCTTCGGGAGGTCTGCCGCAAGGGCGGCTGCGCCCTTGCCGCCATGGCGTTAAATAGAACAACAACAACAATAAAGCGTCCTTGGAGCCGCATCCCATCAGATATCTGGATGCCGATAGGCCTCTCACTGTGGATCCCTAGCATCTTCGTGATGGCATTGTTCAGTTGCTCCTTCATGTTTGGGTGGAACTTCTTCTTTCCCTCTGAGACTGAGCGAAAATCATGGAGAGTCTGCGCCACCTATCACATGATTTTTTCACTGTACGGTGGCATTTACTACAGTTTCGAAGTATGGAGGAGCTACCGACGACTGAAAAAGTCCAAAGCGCTTCCCCTCTCCATTGCAACAGAAGATCCCGAAGCCCAGAGACACCAAAGCCAAAGCAACGACAAGGAATACGCAGCGCTGCCTGCATGTACCTCCATTGCAACAGAAGACGCCCAATCTCAGAGACACCAGATTCAAAGCAGCAGCGCGCCCAAGATCAAGTTGCATGTACAGGCTAAATCATGGGGGCGCAGCGCTCATAAATGGATCGGAAAGTGGCGGAATATCTCTCCCGATCAGAACCCAGACATGGCAATCCCGCTCCGAGTTGTTGTCCCAACGACCATCTTCTGTGCCTTGTACTTTTTTGCCGCGCATATTTCTACCTCGAAGATTCCCTCTCGTTGAGAGTGCAGCCACAGGGTACCTATATGACGGGGAATAAGATCCTACCTTTCATCGCTACGCCTGTACTATGAAATGATGTTTTCTCAAAACTTTTCTACTTGTGTCTTTTTCTTCTTCTTCTTTCTTCCTTCTTCAATTGTGGGTGATCTTATTAAAAATGCATCAGGAGGCATTCATTCCTTGAACTGTACATGCAGGAACTTTGGACAATTTTACGCGCAGGGTACTAGGCCGAGTGCTACGTCACACGGCGATGTTGATATGATTAGTATACTTTCAAGTGTCGTCATTCTTTCAAGTTGATTTAGACTCTAGATGAGTATAATAAATGTTTCCTTTGCGGCCGAAACTAATTTGCGTGACTTCTGTGAAGTTCGGCCTCTTTCCTTGACCGCAGTTGCTTAAACCCAAATCGGCAACTTCAACAGCTCAGTTGAAAATCGCAGTTAATGAAGAGTGTGTCTCACCGAAACATTTTCCAAGGTCACCTATGTTACGGTCAGCTAGTCGTAGTGAGGTATGTTAGCAGAAGTCGAGGCTGCGATACTCAGTAACAGTGTTGTAGCCGGGGGTAGCTTCGGGGAAGCTATGTGCTGTAAGTCGTAAGGTCAGGTAAGGCTTCGGTGATCAATCGTAGTCTTGTTACAGAGGTTCTTAGTGAAGATAGCTAAAAGTGATCATAAGATCTTATATGAAGTTAATTGTCGAAGAAGCTATGGAAAGTTTGTTCTTGAGCCCAGCTCAAGTCCATACTATAAGTCCTGATCCGGAACATATCCTTTGTCCGTATATTTACCGTTAGGTGAGGATTCCCGGGTGGGCGTCCGTTCCTTATCTTATCGTGTAATCGTGACCACGTGTGGCAGGGTGCCTCCTGCTGGTACCTAGAGCATTTTTGCAGTTGATGCGGGAATTGTGAATGGGGGGACCTGGAAGTGTTGGCGACAGTTTACCGAGAGCCTAGAAACGCACATCTTGTTGGTAAGCGCCACCGGGCCCCGGAACCTTCAGGATAAGTCGAGTCCGGAAGCTTAGCCACTCAGGCAAGGGTCAGCGGTTATGGCCGCAGAACGGGTCTCATTGCCTAGGAGCCCAGGTGTACCAGGGTGCACAGTCTCACCCTCATTAGAGAGTTCGAAAGTTGCTTCTTGAAAGTTGGAAGCAGGTTGTGGGCGGGCTGGGTAGTGGTGGTGGTGTGCCTCGCTTAGGGTGTCTGGGTGTTCGATTAGTGCTGACCGTCGAGCGACGGAGCTGCGCAAGCCAGAACGGTGCCCGACCGTTTAGGAAGGAATAATCCTTGTTCCGTATTCTGGGACATCCATCGTCACCCGGTGATGGTAACCTACCACAACTTCACGATGCTGAGTGTCCATAGATAGGCCCAATGAGGGCCGGATTAGTAGTTGGGTCGGTGACGACCAGCGAATACCTGGTGTTGTATGTTTTTTAGGATAGCAACTTTCTCCAAGCGGGACATTGTTGTCTATACTGACGGGTCCCAGATGTCGGACGGCAGCAGCACCTCCGCCGGAGCAGGCTAGGTAGGGTACTAAGCTACACGGCAGATCTTCCGCGGATCCGAACCACTCGGCTCCCAAACTGAGGTATATAACGTAAAGGCACATACTACGTATCACGGCCTAATAGAAGCCGCCCGGGTTCCTACGGCTCGTATAGCAGATAACGTCCACATCTACCTCGACAACCTCGTAATCGCGGCTAGACTATACTCCCAGAGCACAGGAAGCAGCCAGGCTAGATTCAGGGCCTTCAATAGGCTCTCTTCCTCCTAGACTCGGATACAAAGAGAGAGCTGGACAACCCCCGGCAGGGTTTATATTTGGTGGTGCCCTAGGCACACGGGAATACCAGGAAATAAAGAAGCGGATGCTCTAGCCAAGGAAGCCTGTAAACTAATCCCAAAATCATAACCATAGCCCTCATTAGCGCACCTAGAAAGGCAAGCTAAAGCAGCTACCTTCCAAGCCTTTGCCAGAAAATGGCTGTCCTAATGCCCTCGGTAATATACCGACCTCGAGATAGTTCTTCATCCCAAGCCGCCCGAACTCCGCCTCCCTCGGCACTTACTAGGAAGGCTATACGCAGCAAGATCCTATCATGGAGACTTTATAGCATACCACGAGAGATTCACTTATTAAGATGCGTTGCTTAACTGCAGCTGTGGGAAACCCAAGATACCAGTCCATTTCTACTTCTATAAGCGTGGACGTAAGGCTATACCGCGCTATCTCCGCTAACGTATAGCTAAAATAAGCATTAATTTCTTGTTAGGCTCTGTTAAGGGAGCCTCTCTTCTATATAAATAAATAAAAGAGACCAATTTCTTTTCCGAAATTTGCCCGAGTTATTAAATAGGAACGTTAGGTAAAGACGGTAGCCTGTAATATAGTTTAGATTAGCATAGACCATGTCGGCATAGCGCCCGGCACATCCTTTTGTTACCAGACGTTAAATACATCATCATCATCATCATCATCATTATCCAAGCAATTCCTTAGAAGGGCTGAGCAGTCGCATGCCAGAAAAGCTCGCCAATAGCATATCTGTCAGTAAGCGGCTTAGCCTCCTCCTTGACACATGTCTTCTCCACCGGGACTCCCTCGAATCTCGCCGCGATCCATGCAGCAATGTCAGCTCTCGCCGCCTCCAGGACCTGGCCGTGACCCATGCTCGGGTAGACTCTAGCATGAACAGGGCTCTCAGGGAATGAGGTGCAAGTCTGGTTGAAGTCATCGAGCGTAAGATTGTTCGGTGTAATGGTGTCGGTCTCGCCCGAAATCACCAACATTGGCGCCGCGATGGAGTACGGGCCCTGGCCGTTGTAACGAACGGCCCAGTCGTTGACGACAGGGAGTGTCAGCCAGCTGGTGTTCTTGCAGAGCTGCTCCGGGGTGAAATCGCCGACGATAGCGAAGCCAGACGTGAAGCACGACTTGTCGAGGGCAGCCAGGCGCTGCAGAGGAATCTCTCCAAGGTAGTCCGCAACCTTGATCTGATCTGGGAAGAGCAGAGACAGAGACTGGAGGAAGTAAACCGAGAAGGGATCGTGGGCAGCCTTTCCTTGAGCAAGCGCCATAGAGGCGGGAATGAGCTTCTGCGGCCGCAAAGCAGGGGCGGCAGCCACGGAGCCGATGAACTCGCCGGCTTCCAAAAGGGCTTCTTGGTCGGGCTGAGCCAGACGCTCGTTCGTTCTCCATGCCGTCATGCCACCCTCGCTGTGTCCATAGACCACCCAATTCTGTCCTAAAAGGTCGCCGATGACCTTTCTAGAGGCAACGAGAGAGTATGCGACATCGGCAACGTGGAGCCAACCAGACTCGTACATGAAACCCTGGGGGATATCGGAACCCTGGCCAGCATAGTCGGGCAATGACAGCGTACCCAGACTCGGCGAGGATGAAGGGGGCTTTCCAGTCGTAGTAAAGGCCCTTGTTGTTCGTGGGGGCACACAAGCGGCTACGGCCGGCAGTTCCGTGGGTCCAGACGACGGTGCGGAGCTTGTTCTCTTCGGCCGTAGCACCGGGCTTGGCGAACGGGTTGGAGAAAGACAAGAGAACCCAAGCAGATGCGGGAATCGGCTTGCGGTCGATGTCTTCGGTCACATAGAGGACCCTTGACAATGACAGACTGGCGGGGATGGTCCAGTTCAAAGAAAGCTGTGCAGCGGTGAAGTTGGAAGGAGTAGAGTAGAAGGGGTCGGACACGATGTCGCTCACCCAGAGAGATGCTTCAGATTCGTTGGTGGTCTGGATGGCGGCTTGGCAGGATGGCGGTTTGGCAGGCTACATCGCAACCCTTCTGGCACTCGGCATCGCAGATAGGGTCGAGGGCAGAAACGATGCCAGCGAAGGCAGCAGTAATAGCTACGAAAGACCTCATTTTGCCGAATGATCTTGAGTTGGAAACAAACGTAACCCTGCTGGATGAGGAACGGAAGGCATAATGATCGCTGCCAGCACCGGGCCTTTATACAAGGTCGAGGACGGAAAGGGGGTTCATCTCATCATCTGATTAATTACATGAGCTGGGTTCATTGAACTTGAACCATAATTCCACGCTTTACCTACACAATACTACGAGCCCAGGCTGTTGAACAGTCATATTAAGCATACGTGCGATGCAAGCTTGGTGGTCGCCCCAGTGTCGCATATAACTTCCCCTTTTGGGATGGATCACCCGCCCCTCGTTGCAGCGCATCCATCCCGGATTGTGATCGGGGAATACGCCAGGCCCGGAACCACAGTAATCGGCCTAGGTAGGCAGTTGTCGATAAGCATGATTGAGTTGCTTTCAGCTTGAAGTCGGCTCTGTCCAGTCAAAAAGATTCTCGGAACGCTTCCGACCCATTCCGTCTGATCTTCTAGCTGCCTCTTAATCGTGAAAGGCGGACTTCGGAGACTTCTGTCAAGCTGGCATGCATTTCACCCCGCCAAGCTATGATCATATCGGCCTCCCACCGGCAGCTGTTCCCAGTGATGCGGTAGTACTCCACCTTCAACGACTGCAGCTTCTGATCGGCCTGCCCTGGCAAACATGAGCATGCACATCATGTTGTGTGGTATTGCATCCTCAACTGTGTACCTTAGATCAAGTGAATCGTTAATCATCTATTAAATGCATCTCGGGATCAAGCATGGCGTCTGCCCAGAACAATGCATCTTTACAATCAACTTATCAAATGTTTTCCCCTGGTCTCATGATGCCGTAGGCGGCAGTTTTGATGAGCAATGGCTCAACTCTGTTCCTCACTTATGTTCTCTTCGCTTCATCACCAGAGGACCTGCCCCAACTTGTGGTCTCTAAGCCATCACCTGATCGAGGCGGCATAACAGCCAAGAAATTCATACCGTCCATTGAATGGATGAATGAACACAAGGTCTGCAGTGGAGGGAAATCCGATTCTCCCGTTGAGTGTGCGCATCAACAGACAGATGTTAGGTGACAGAGGAGAACACGTATCGGTTATCATAAACAGGGCTCGAAAGAAAACCTGACATGCATGTGATAATGACTACCATGCGAATCATTACGACGTTTTGCACTGTAATGCTCAAACACTGTCTGTAAGTTTCGTCTCTTCACGGTTATTATACCTTTGCTATTCAGTCCAAATCTCGTTCAAGCAGATCACGCTTTTGGTAGGCTGCAAGGAGCTGAGCTATTGAGTGAACAACAGCAGTATCGATTTCAGCATCAAGGACTTCAGTTGAACGGAAAAATGTTCTTACACTTGATTCTCCAGCGATAGGCGTCTAAGTTTCAATCACCCCGCGTTCAAGTCTCGAACTGGGGTGAGTAACAATCCTGTCGGCGTTGAAAATGTCTGCATAATTGCAATGGCTCTCGATATTTTTGTGTCTGAGGTTTCCGGCATGAAAAGTTCACTGATTCATCTTGGGTAGTAATATTGATGAACACAAGTTCAACTGCAGGATCGCCACGCGAACGCTTATTTTGGACGGTCGCTTTCGTCATCGCTACACCGGGAGGCCGTGCCGGCGTGACCGAAGGAAACTAAGCGATGCCTCTTCCCCGCACCATGTGGCATTCCGGCTTTAACTACCGGCAAGACAATTCCGGCTTAGCCATTTCTTCGCAAGAGTGCAGTTCATCATTACTTCTTCCTCCTTACCTGCGTTTTCAGACTCAACAATGGAGAAGGCAGATACGACTGAGGTGCTAGATGTGTCTGTATGGCCAACGGCGGCAAAGTTTGTCTCTCGATGTTGCGAGTTCTTGAATGAGGTGCAAGACATGTGAGTTCTTCTGACGAGAGACATGGAAACAAATCTCATCAACTCACGATAATTGCGCTAGGACACCCGGCAAAGCTCTAGAATCACGACTCAATCAAGACTTTGGACCTGGCAATCAGTACTACGAAGACTTCTGCGCCCTCATCAAACAAGGTCTCGAAGAAGGATGGGTGGCTCAGACTGAGATAGACGGACGCAAATATCGGCGGGGCAAAATTGCACTACCTTCGGCGTCAACGAGATATTTCAGCATCACGACTGTGTTTATGGATAGCGATACTGAGTTTAGGGGACAATACCACGCTCACCCTTACGGCGAGATAAACTGTGTTGTCCAGCTCGATCCTACGACTGAACTTAAAGGAATGCAAGGTTGGCAGGGTGCTGGCTGGACATCCCCTGGACCTGGAACACATCACTTCCCCGAAGTCCGGAAAGGGGCTTTGGTGGCACTCTTCTTTCTGCCTGCTGGTCGAATCTCATATAACGCTCAGCCAGGTGCACCACAGCCATTATCAGTTTAGATACGTTAGCAGAATACGATCGGTTGGATTGTGACAATAAAGGAAGACTTCGATTTTCTAGGTACTATTTCTAACGAGTGGCACAGCTCTGGTCCAGTACCTTACTAGGACTGGGACATTGGCGGATAACAAGATTTTATTAAGGTATTTCAACGAGAGTGAGATTGAAACACAAAAGAGACTAGGAAATGGTAACAGAGTAAAAGACCATCAACTTGCAGACCTCAACGCAATCCATGAAAGGAGGCTCGGTTGAGCAACACAATTCTCACAATCCTCAGAATTCATGAGTCCTCCGCATTGGTCTTTTTCTGCCTTCTCAAGCTGGGCCCATTAATTTGCCTTTGCCCAGTTGATGTTTGACCCTGCCCTTGGCTTGGTAGCACGGCGCAACCGAAATAGTAGGCGTGCATAGACGGAGTACCATACACGTCTCCATCGTAAGTGGCGTCAAGATTATTGTGTTGATCGCCAGTCCCAGATTTTGTACAATTGATGTACAGGAGAGCATTGTCGGTGGAACTCAGTGTCTGAGTTATGTATGACGAAGCTGTGGAATTCGCATGACCAATGTGGTCATAGTTGAAGTGAGGTCCAGATGGCTGCATCGCCATTCGATTAAGGAGATCCGGGTCATTTTCGATGTATGCCCCATTGATTTGGGTGACGCCCTCACCAGCCGTGCAATCGCGGTAAATTGTCCGACCTTTCATGTTGACTTCAATTCCAATCGGGACACCCTGATGAGGCCAATCTTGAGAAGAAGGGCTGTTGCTGGTAGGAAGGGGATGAGCTTGGTCTGGCCCTACACCGCAGCTTTGTTCGGCTTCTTTGGCCATGTTGTAATGATAGTCGTGGAGAACAGAGGCAGGCTTCCAGTCCCGAGACCCATGTGAAGTCTTCACAAGCGCAACTGAAACACCACTCGTTGACGATGATGAACCGCCGGTCTGCCTCTCAGATTCGGCAGCATCGTGCTCAAGTTCAGACAATAGGCTCTCCTTTGTGTTGCGCAAGGAACGGTTCGCCATGGCACGTATGTCTGACTGTATCTGGTGGACAGCGCTTATACCCAAACAAACAAATCAAATATGAGGTTCATATTTGATTGTTTGACTCATTCTTCGCGCCATATTTGATTGTTTGACAAACATTTGATAGATTTGACTGATTTCCTAATCGGGAAATGAATGAAGCTATCGCGAAAGTCCTCCTAGTACTGACTTACAGACTTTACCTCGATCAGCTCTTCTAATTGAAAAATTGACCTCCTACTTCCACAGCACCGCCGCGAAGCCAGTTCTTGAGACATTGAACCTCTTCCAGCGTAGAGGACCTCATTGATAATCGCTGTGAGGTTAAAGTCAACTTCGCGAGGCTGAATGTCCTCTCGCAGTCTGTCGCCATCGCAGGGATCGCAAAGATATCAAGCGCAAGCTTGCTCAACGTTGGATAGGTTAGCCGATGGTCAAGCCACCATTGGATTGGGTTGAGGACCGGCTGAGGGATAATCTGTGAGTAATATTGATCAAGCTCAGGCGCAAGATTGATTGCCACCTCTGTCGTTCGAGATGTCAACCATTGCCGGTACTCCGAGTCTTCTGCGACACTCTCTGGAATCGTGAGGGCAGCAAAAGTGGCTTGTGACTGTCGTGGCGAAGGAGGAGGACTTGCTGTCTCGTCTGCATACCATCTTTCCCAGTAATCGTAGAGCCCTTTTTTCGCATCGAACAGCCAGTGGCTCTGCTCGGGCGTATCCCACCTCTTCTCCAGCCATCTTAATCCTTGCCCAGGGTGAAGAATGATTGCTGCGGCGTAAAGCGGAGAGTCGCCCAGCTTGGTATAATACTTATTGAGGACTTGCCAAGCATTGATGACTGACAGTCGGAAGTATCCTCGTGAGTCAAAATCACTGCTGAGAAGCAGCTCCGCCCGCTCCCTAGGCATGTACTCAGACTGAGAAAAACGAGGGATGCTGCTTAAAGTTGGAGGTTGAGAAAGAGGTTGGGATATAAATTGACGACGAGCTGACCGCCGACGAGGTAGTGTTACTTGCGTAAACTGCGATTGCGACGCTACGATCTGAGAAGCCGTGAGATCTATCTCTTCCTCAGAAGGTTCATCATACAACCTCTTCCACTCCTCGAGACGGTCAATGAGGTACTCGAGACCTGCCATCACTTCCCATAGACGGCCATGGCCGTCTCCTTTGCCCCAGCCCTGGCATCTCATCGTCTGGAGGTAAAGTGGCTCAAGCACCGCCTTCAGCTCGGCCAGCAGCTGCCAGTCGTCATCATCAAGAACGTCGTCAATGGGGATCCGTTGCTTTGGATCCTTTTGAGCTCGACTGGTTGCCGAGAGGGTGTGGATCTGCTTTCTCTTTTGCAAAGAGCGCTGTATCATGAGGTATGTCGAATTCCACCTTGTGTCGTTGTTGAGCGTCAGCATGAGCTCCTGCGACGACTCCTCGAAGAGAGTAAATGTGTCGTTCTCGTCGATCTCATTGCTGACCTCGAGGAAGGCCTCACATCGTTGAGGCGATGAGCGAATGAATTTGACGACGTTCCGAAGCTTACCAACAGGGCCCCTTGTGCGCCAGAGGTTGAGATCTTCTTGAAGTTGCCCAGTATTAATCAGTGTATCTGATTCTTGCTCGAATGCCTCTTTGTCATTGCCAAACAGAAAGGCCCTGCCGACGAGGCTAAGAATGTGACCGTAGCACCTAATCCTCCGGTCAAGAACATCTTCCTGGGTGTAGGCATGAGATAACATAGGATATAAGTGACCTAGGCAAGTGTCGTTGTTTGAGGCATTGTCGCAAACAATTGCTCCGACTTGGTCGCCCAATTCCCAGTCGTCTATTATGGATTTCATGGTCTGGGCAATGTTGGCCCCATCGTGAGCACCATACTGTCGTCGTAGAGCAATAAGGTATTGTGTTTGTTGCCCAGCATGGTTTAGAAAGTGAGTGAAGACGGCGATGATGGCATTCCGCGTTGGCGAGGTCCATAGATCGAATGATAGGTGGACTTTCGTCATTGACCTCCGGATCTCTGCCCTGATTATATCTTTCTTCTTGACGAAGATGCTGTTCAGCTCCTTTCTCATACTTCCGTGTGATAATGAGAGTTCGTTGGCAGTACCATAATCCAACTGATAGAGGAGGGCCCGGAGGTAAGGATCCTGGAAAGTTGTGAATGGGCTATTGCTATTGACAATGTATCCGATTGCCAATTCCTCAATTCTCGTTACCTGGCCCTTCGTGACAGCACCAGAGGTAAGTTTCCGTCTCTTCGGCGCAGAGTCGTACTCTGAGGATTCTGATGGATGTGGTGACTCGCTGGAGCTTGGATCCATTACTCGGTGCTTTGACCTTAAGTGAGTCGTCGCTGAGCTCGTAGCTATCGCTTTGAAGCAGGTAATAATGCCTATTTGGTCGCAGCGACGACAAAACCAGAAGACTTCGCCTCGAATGTTTCCATCGTAGATCTCTCGAGCGAAGACCCCCTCTAAGCGGATCCACGACTTCCTTGGCCTTGCGCCCTTCTGTGATATCAAATCGTCGTTAACGAAAGTCCTCCCTTTCCAGAAGGCTTTTGGAAGGGCGAGGAGGTTGTCGCGAGTGTCGAGGTCGGTCGATGATGCGAGACTGGCGTCGGTTGGGGCCTGTAGCTGCGAGGTAATCCGAAGTGGCTGCGGCGCGCCAAAGACCGTGCGACTCATTGCCAATCAATTAATTACGATATGGCGAATCGATTGATATATAATTTAATTGATTTTGACGATAATTGTGGTGGTCGCAAAGGGTTGGAAGTGGTAGTGCGTAACTTCATTGGTTTTGTTGATGTTGAGAAAAGGGGGCACCAGTTGACTAGCGGAGGTTTTTTTGATTCCTGGACATTGTAGGATGCCAAATCCAGCGCTCTATACTACTCAGGCATTTCTTGTTAACGTAACAAATACTAGCAATCCATATAGTTAAGTGGTATAATACCGAACTTACAATCGTAAGTGAGGAGTCGTGGGTTGGAATCCCGCTATGGGTTTTCATGATGCCAATGACGAGCTTCTGTGGGGCGTGATTAGCAGCGTCGGTTTTTGATTGGCCCGGCCCCGGATATTCCTTTTTCCGGGCGACCTCATATTTGATCAAATATATCAAATATGGGGCCTCACGATATTTGATTGTTTGACTCGCTGAAATTCCTATATTTGACTGTTTGTTTGACTTATTTGTTTGGTTGATTTGAATGGGTATGTGCGCTGCTCATCGGCATCATGGACGTCGCCCTAACTGATGCCGCGAAATGGGTACAAGCCGCCTGCACCGTCATTTACGCCTTTGTATACTTCATGACCATTGGTGCCATGGCTTTTGCCACCCTAGGCGAGGCTTCCAGCTCTGTTCTGCGCGCAAAGACTACGGCTCTCGTTACCGCTGCCCAAGCAATCTGTGGCTTGGCGATGAACTTCGCGATTCCTTACATAGTTAACCCGGATGAGGGCAACTTGAAGGGCAAGGTTGGATTCATCTTTGGTGGTCTGGCGTCGATTGGAAATGTGGGGAGCTTCTTCTACGTCCCTGAACTCAAAGGCAAGACCTTTGATGAAATTGATCGTCTCTTTGTGGCGAAGGTGCCACCGAGAAGAATGGGAAAGATGTAAGCTAGTGGAGGACAGTGAATCGCTGTTAGTTGTCATTGGACTGGAACAGTATTAATATTAATACACGATATCAAGTGGTTGACAAGCACATGAGCCAGTTTGATCCCTTGCGACTGTTTGGTGGCGGCTTGTTTATACCAATCCTCGAGGGATTGAACTTGTCTATGGCGGACCGGCTACAACAGTGTCTCCGCTGCTATTCTGCCCAATGCCATGCCAAGTAGGTAGGTTCAGGGCTGTAGAGGAGACCCACCTGCTCTTCTACGCAGATCACGGCGATCAGTCTACTTTCTCGGCGAAGGTTGGTCATATTCGCCAATATAGAAGATCAAATCATCCGGCTGGATCCCCTCTGAATCCTCCAAACTGGAAACATATGCCCCCGTAACATCCTTGTCCTCCATGCTGTTCCAATCCCAGCACATCTTGTGAACGTGCCAGTAAAACGGGTTGTCGGTAATCTGTCCCGATCCAATCTCGCCTATGTCAATTTGGACGCTCGTCTTGATCCCGACACCGCCCATCCGTCGGGCCTGCGCGATGGAGTTCATCGCCCTGTACTCGTCGACGAACTGGACAGAGTCGAGGTCGCACAGCCACTTTCCAGCGCGGCCCCAGACACGGGAGATGATGTCGCGCAGGGAGACGTTCTTCTCGTCAAAGCCGTTAGCGACGAAGTCGACCTTGATACGGTTGCCGTCGATGCGGAACTCGTTAACAATTTAGCCGCTAGATGACACTGTCCACTTATCACCGCTGTTGCTGACACTATAGCCGGCGTCTTCTCTCGTCGCAGTACCCAGGCACAGGAGACCACAAAGAACAGCAAGGCAATGAAAGCATATTGTTGGATTCACAGGTGGAAAAGGAAAATACTCGAGTATCGTGGGTAGCAACGATCACCGACTGTAGTGGTGATATTGCTTGTTCTTGTTGTTGTTGAGTGGAAGTCTAACCAGGTGCCAGCGGCGGCAGGAAGTCTGGGGTATACCACCCTCGTGTGGCTGAGCCACACGGACCACCGTGGCTAGAACGGACCGCGGCAGCAACCTCCTGCTGCCTAATGTAGGCCTATTCCAACACTTATATTCGGAAGGTTCTTTTGACTTTTGATGCAAGTGGTCAATTTCTTTTTGAAAAAGTATATTGACAAGAGAACATTATTGGAAGAAGTCAGAATTAAGTAATTGCCGTTGTTGGGTTTCGCGGACGGAAAGATCGAGTCAATTCTCACCGGTATCTTTTGAACTTTTCGGAGCTATTTTCTGTGTCATAAATCCCTGTATACTCCATTCGTATCTTAGAGTTCGGACTGAACAAGACGAGTACGACTTTTGTAGATGACGGCCTTAAAGCTGTTCATATTCCAAGTAGTACTGTAAGTTGATAAAACTGTATATTGTGTTCTACAGTTGCTATTCAAGCATCTGCCCATAAGCCAACTTCAGGTCTTAGTCTCACACATGTCCAAGTTCTTCTGAAACATCTGCTCTCTACTCCCGCACTCATTTGACCGCTTATTTGTACCGTTTCCCGAAATACGGTTCATATGTGTTGGAATAGGCCTACATTAGGCAGCAGGAGGTTGCTGCCGCGGTCCGTTCTAGCCACGGTGGTCCGTGTGGCTCAGCCACACGAGGGTGGTATACCCCAGACTTCCTGCCGCCGCTGGCACCTGGTTAGACTTCCACTCAACAACAACAAGAACAAGCAATATCACCACTACAGTCGGTGATCGTTGCTACCCACGATACTCGAGTATTTTCCTTTTCCACCTGTGAATCCAACAATAAGTAACTTCAAAATATATACATAAAGTATAATAAACGTGAACTTGATTATCAAGAAGAGAATTAATCTATCTTATTAAGTAGATTGATTTGACTGTGCAGCCTGTTTTCCACTGTCAGTGGCAGGCACCGGGACTTATATAATCTAGTACGCTCAGCACTGCAATACGCCCGATCGCGCCTGGCTGTAGGAAATCGTCCATTGCGACCGCGGGAAAACGTAATTTTGGTATTGGGGCGGAAGGTGGTAATCACAGAGAGACAAAGTGATAAAAGCGGTGCTGCCGGCTGCTCGCAGTGACACACGGTCAATTTAGCCAGACTGCAGAGTCAAATTGACCTCATTCCATATTATATTCTTACTTTGATACAGTGAAGTAGTCCAATGTTACTATATAGATTCTTAGTGGCAAACTATGTTGTTTACTGACCCCACGAGTCAATGAGCACTAATAGCTATACCATCATCCGCACATAGAGTCGAGTTATTGTAACTCAAAGTAAACTTTCGAGATATCTGTAGTGTGCTACGCAGTTATACTGTTCCGTGAGCACTGTGCCAGACCCTTCAAGCCATTCATCGCCTATGCACATCAGTGAGAAAATGGATATGATGACCGACAGCAAAGTTAACACACCTTTCGCGACAAGCCTGTCAACGTCTGCCTTGGATGAGGAGGTGCGACCGCCATAGACCAGCCTATGTGAGTATCGTATTAGCATGTGCCTCGAAGGATTATTATATGATGTATGCTTACTTCTGGTCCTGGTAAGGAGTATAATCGTGGCTCGACTGGGAAAATCCATTTGAGAAAAGCCTAATATGGATGTAGGTAGCTTTGAACTTCTTTAAAATTCTGGCCGTCTTGCCAACGACGAGTCCGACATGGTTGCATCCGTGTTCTGACAATGCCCACTGCGTAAGAGGAGTCGTTGCCTGGTACCAGTCGGGTGCGATGGCGCAGTTCATGAAGTAATAGTAGGTGTTGGAACTGAGCGAGCCTCCGGCGGCCTTCGCTGCCTCTTGATAAGCATCGGAAGAGTCACGGCTCAGTAATCGAGCCAAACTACCCCCATCGGTGGCTGAATCGGCGGTGGGATCGCGCACTTGCACTGCATTGTCATTCGAAGCCGTAGCGACGAGACTAGCAATTGCAGCGGTGCAGTAGGTAAACAGAAGCAAAAATTTCATGGCTGCTCGAAGAGACTAGCCGTGGCGTTTGATAACGATGTGAGGAAGTAGCGGAGTGGTATTGCGACTCTTCATCTTTAATAGACTCTGTAAATCGATTGCGAGAAGAGAGGCTGACTTAACGTAGGCAAGGAGCTCATTTCAGTCTCATTTCATGACGGAGTCGCCGTTGTTCGTTGGAAATTTTCTATGACCAAAATTAATAGCATAACTTATTTGAGTTCAACTTCAAACTATCCGGTTTTAAATCAACCTGAACTTTGAAGCAATGAGGCTGCGAGGCATTACTGTGGGATGTATTTCGCCGAGTTACCCAGCGTCTAGCTCTAGTTCTTAATGGCCGTGCCCTCTGAACACAAAGCTTGTGCTCCGTAGGTACTTTGTCTGCCGATCCACAACGCCAAGTTCGTAATAAAATTGTAAATTTGGACTTACTCGTGCATAGGAATCGTTCTATCCGTAGTGGTCGGCCTACCCGCAACATAGAGGTTGGTGTGATTGACCAAATCTATGGTTCAAATAAGAGGTCTAACGATGATCTGACAGAGTAATTCATCATCCCAAATTGTGTTTATTATATGAAGGGTCACAGTCGTTCTTTTGGTCAGCCACAATTCACCAACACTCTTTACCCTTCTCCTATTCTTTCGATCACTTGCCACGGTCTCAACTATGTCTCGCCGTGTATTATTCTCTCTTCTCGCGCCGCTACTTGTCAACGCCGCACTGCTACCGAGAGGTGGTGATGTTGCGGTCGGCGACAAATGGAAGAACCACAACGATGTCAAGCCTCTTCCTGCGCTTCCGGATGACGACATCATGGGTGATTTAGAAGTCCAATACTCACCATTTCTTTTCTCCTGGCATGGATGCATCCCTTATGCCGCTGTGGACGCCGATGGCTACGCTGGGTAAGTGCTGACCCTGGGCTGGATATCCTCAACTAACCCACGACAGTTCTGGACTAAAGCCCACTGGCAAGTCTGGTGACGATTGCCGCGACTTTGGACAGTCTGGTCAAACTTACGCGAGAGTTGGAGAGTCCCACGACCGCTGGGCCATTATGTACAGCTACTATCTTCCCAAGGTCATGGGCAGCGACGAGCAGCATCGTCACCACTGGCTCACAGCCGTGGTCTGGCTCGCCTATGACAAGTGCCCAGATGAACTCAGGAATTTCTCTCCTCGTGGAATCAGTTATTCGACAAGCCCTGGCGCATTCGACACGAAGCGCACTAACACACTTTACGTCGCAAAGAACGGTGCTGGACTAGCGACTCACCCTGTAGTTACCTACGATGCCGGCCAGATCCTTTTCCCCTCTGATGTCGGGCCCAATGGTGCCTTGAGCCCGCCCCTGATCGGCTGGGGTCGCTTGCCTCAGCTCGCCAAGGACCAGTTCAACGGAATCCAATACGAGCACACCAAGGTTCCATTCAGCGACGCCAACTTCCAAAGCTACCTCGACGCAGCTTACGACGACGCCTTTTTCGTCGGCGTGTCGGATGTGATGGACTGTCAATCTTCGAGTCCATCTCCGACCGACAATGATCCCGATTTTGCTGATACGCCTACTTCCACTTCGCCGGCGTCCCAGCCCACACAGTCCGATGATTTCTAAAGAGACTTCCAGCTTTATACAATTTTAGTGGTCGAAAGGCCGAAGCCGAAACTATGTTATGGTGATTTTGAGCTGCAGTTCATCTCGCCCTTCGCAGTGGCAGGAATCACTGCAGGCTGGTTTGTTTCAAGGCATCCTGGATTGTGTTTCACAGTCTTGGCCTCGGCTATGGCTTTAATCATATGGGTATTGAAGCCAGCCTTGACTTGGCTTACTAGGGAGACTCGGCTCGAGAAGACGAACAACGTCGTCTCACGATAGATCATACAGGGACTGCAGCTCGAACATGAAGTGCAGACCACTTCCTATTTGATTCATTGCCGACTCACCCAGCAAGGGCTTACCACGGATTTTAGGTTGTTTCTATAGATCAATTCCACTCAGATCATGTAGAATGTACAATAATAATAGGTATCGAGCAGCAGTTAGACAGGCAGGGGTCATATTGTGTGTATTGAAGAGTATATCGAATGAAAAAAAAAAAATTTGTTCTATTTAACGCCATGGCGGCAAGGGCGCAGCCGCCCTTGCGGCAGACCTCCCGGAGGGTATGTGGCGTGAAGGGTCGCAGGCTCTAGCTATATACTATCCCATCGGCTGCCACATGACGCCAGAAAGGCCTCCCCACAAAACGACCCATATTTTCCCCTCATCAAACGAGTACATCGAGGGACATCATTTACCTATGATTTTACCCCTAGTTTTACTAACGTGGTTCATCAGTTAGCCGGCCGGACCAGTCAGCCGGACGTTTTTTTCTAAACACACTTATGTCCAAACCACTTAAAGCTTTGACGTGTAAAATCTCAACAACCATAATGCCAATCTACACCCAAGAAGACAAAGTCATTCTTGCGATTGAAGCGATCCGATCGACACGCGCTGCAGGTAGTAACTTGAGCATTTCGCGTGCCGTAAAGACCTACGGTATCTCGAAGAGCACCTTAGCCGATAGAATAAACAACCGACCGCGACGCGAACAAACTCAACCCCAACGACATAAACTCGATCCGATCGAAGAGAAAACACTTCTCCAATACGTTATTGAACAGGATTCCAGAGGATTTCCTTTCCGCCTTGGCGGTGTGGAAAATATGGCTAATCTCCTGCTGCGAGCGCGTAATGCCGAGCCTGTTGGCAAGCGATGGGCCAGGCGGTTTATGGACTCACAGCCTGCTCTGAGAACAAAGTTTAATCGTCCATACGATTATCAAAGGGCTCTTCAAGAAGACCCAGAGGTTATTTCAAAGTGGTTTGTATTGTTACGCAACATAATAACTAAGTATAGAATCCAAGAGGAGGACCTATACAATTTCGACGAGACTGGCTTCATGATGGGCATGATTACCGCGTTAATGGTGGTAATACGTGCCGATCGACGCGGTAAAGTAAAGTCTGTCCAGCCGGGTAACCGTGAATAGGCTATAGTTATTGAATATGTCAATTCGGGCGGGTGGTGCATCCCTCCGTTCGTGATCGTCAAGGGCGTATATCACCTTGCCAGTTGGACCACGGAATGAGGTTTTCCGGGCAACTGGGTCATTAAGCCCACTGCTAATAGATAGACAGATAATCAGACGGGTCTTAACTGGATTAAACACTTCGACAAATATACTAAGAACCGAACTAAGGGCGTCTACCGGATGCTCATTATCGACGGCCATGAGAGCCATTTATCGGCCGAATTCGACGATTACTGCAAGCAGAACAATGTTGTAACGGTCAGTATGCCTGCACATTCGTCGCATCTATTACAGCCATTGGATATTGCACTTTATTCGCCTTTAAAACGCGCATACGGTGATAAAATCAACCTATTTATCAGAGCCTCCATAAATCACATTACCAAGTCTGAGTTCTTTATTGCCTTCCACCAGGCCCACAACAAGGTTTTTAATGAGGAAAACATCAGGTCTGCTTTCCAAGGCGCTGGAATTTCACCATAGGACCCAGAGTATATCATCAAAAAGCTTGATGTGCATTTACGGACGCCTACACCTCCTATGGCCAACCCTTCAACACCACCACCTTGGCAGTCGCAAACGCCCTCTAACCCACAACAAGCCGTCTCGCAGTCTAACTTTATCAAAAGCCGGATCTCTGCTCATAAAGGAAGCTCACCGACACCAATTATTGCTGCAGTTAAGCAATTATCAAAGGGTGCGCAGGTAATGGCGCACTTAATCACTATTTTGACTGATCGGCTTCGTACCCTTGAGGATGCGAATGTAGCACTTGCTAAGCGTCGGAGGGCTAAAAGGTCGCGTATGTAGCTTGGAGGGGCACTTAGTATAGAGGAATCTTAGGGTTTGCTGGAAAAGAAACAAAAAGGTAAACGTCCAGCACCTCGAGAGGATAAGGAGGGGGGTCCATCAAAGAGAGCACAGCCGACTCGGAGACGCTGTGGTGCGTGTAGTAAGACTGGGCATAATGCACGAACCTGTTCCAAAGATGTCGAATCATCAGGAGATTCTGATAGCGGCAACCAATAATTGATTTAATGCGTTGTGGTTGAGAAATACTAGATGTTGTTGTGGACGTGGGAAAAAACGTCCGGCTGACTAGTCCGGCCGGCTGACTGATGAACCATGTTACTGTAATTATCCTTTTTATTAATGTTACGATGACTTCGGACGATTCTGACGCTTCTACGGGGTCTATGGGGTCGGCCCGGTCCTGTATTACTGTCGCTATACTGCCGGAAGACCTCGCTATTGCCTGTACGACGGAGTGTACTCCGGAGCGGTGCGACAATGCCACGATCCGGCCCCACGAGCCTCCAGAAGCCGAACGCGGAGCCCCGGGCTCCTTTGAGCCCTTTGAAGTGCCGCGCCGAGACGCCGAAATACAGGATTTACCGGCTACTCCATTAGATCTCTTCCTCCGATATATTCCCCGAGATCTCACGGAGCAGTGGGCCGAGTGGACGAACGACGCGCCGGCCGAAGAGTCCCGGAAGCGTTACGCCAGAAGCCGCAAGTGGCGCCCGACTTCGCCAGAAGAGATCTACCTCTCGGCTGTATTCAGTGCGACGTAGCCCTATGTACCAAGGGAGATTGCTGGTACAACTTTCACAACCAGAATTTATAGAGAACAGAAGTACTAGAAATCTAGCTAATTTAATTGGTTAGAAAAAAAGAAGGCAGGGCTCTGATTGGTACTACTCCGCACGAGGGGTTTCTGGCGTCATGTGGCAGCCGATGGGATATAGTACACGCCGTATCCTGACGTCCTCCAAATCTTGCTCGTGAGCTACTATGTGTTCTATCCATCCCTAGTTCCCACTGGTGCCCTAGTTCCGTTATAACCATCTGGTTTCTTAATAGAGGTAGTTTGTCGTTTGGAGGATAGGTATCGAATGAATGGCTATGGGAAAAAAACCCATATCTATCCCATCGAGTGCCAATTGGCAACAGGTACATTATGCCCAGTCTTGACCCACTTTTGCCCCCTCACCGCGGGAATACATGACGGTACGTCATCAACCCCTATATTTTCCCAGCTGCGTTCACCACCACAACTAACATTTCTACAGATGGGCAACTGTCGCGATGTCCTCAAGCGACTCTGATGCGTCTGATTCGTCAGCGCTTTCACATATCACCGTCGCAGTACTTCCCGAAGACCTTGATAGCGCCTGTACAGCTCAATGTAGGCCCGAGAGGTGTGATAACGCAACTGTATGCCCACACGAATCGCCTCCGCTAGAAAGGGGCACACCGGGCCAATTCAACCCCCTCGACCTGCCCTACCGCGCCGCAACAGTACGGGGTCTATCTACTACCCCTTTAGAGCTTTTTCAGCAGTATGTGCCTTTGAGGCTGGTTGAATCGTGGGTACAGTGGACCAATGAAGCCGCAGTACGAGGCCCTGTTCAACAACACTCACGATCCCACAGAAAAAAGACGAGGTCAGGGTGCCTGCAGTGTGGAGTAGCGCTTTGTAACTCGGATGATTGCTGGTACCTCTTTCATAGTCAGAGTATATAGACAACAGAAGTATCCATAATCTAGGCTTTTTGGTTGGCTAGAAGAAGTCTTGGCTGTCTCCTGAGTGGTCAGTTCCCCTCAAGGGCATGTACCTGTTGCCAATTGGCACTCGATGGGATAGCGTTCTGGCGTACAGTCTGTATTATAGGCAGTAGTAAGGTCTTCTGGAAGGATCTTAACTACTATATAACTACGTACCGAAGTAATAGAAGCATCGGAGTCACTAGAAGACATCGCAGCATTAATCGAAATGGTAGTAATAGTGGTGATAATAGGCAAAAGAGCATAGGGATAAGTGACGTATTGTTAAGTACCCCTTTGAATGCGGGGTAATAAAGTGTAAACAGTGGGTATTTTGGGGCTTGGCAAAAATGGCGTCAAGTGGCACTCGATGGGATAAAAGTTTATCCTTCACGAGTAAAAAGTGTCGCATCACGGTCGGAATTGTATCCCGTCGGCAATCCATATATAACTTGGCAAGACGGCAAGTTTCTACGGGAACTGAGTAAAATTGATAGGGCGGTCTTGTGCGGAAAATCGATTGATTGGCTAGAATTCATCTTTTTTGTCAAATGTTACCGTGACATTGGCATTATTTGTGGCCTTGTAATGTACATTGAATTACTAGTAGTTGCTTCTCGGGTATTTTGACCTGATTTGAGTTGTGTAAGCAATGTTCGTTCGCCTGCGTCGTTCTTTCCTCACGAGCTAGGCCCAATGCATTCGTGTCCAGATGCATAATCCATCCCCCAAATCATCCTTCCATCAGTCAACAAAGCCCCGGCGATTGCGAAGCCTTTGCCCAGAATTTCGTTGAGCAGGGCATCCACTCGTTGCCTGATATCATCTCTCTTAGCCTCAAGGGCAATGCCCATGAGAACAACGAGGTAGCTCCACGACTCTAATCCGACAACGGGAGTCCGTTGCTCTAGCCTCTCAAGAACGAAGAGCCCATGCCCCTCAAGATCCGGCATGTCTGTCATGTGCGGTAAATCCTCGTCGATGAGTTTCCATGCCGGGTCCCAAAAGGTTCGTGTTATACCCATAAGCGAGAAGTGGTAGAAAGCCTCGCGCAGAATGCTGAAGTCGGTCTTGTCCGCTTCGTCGCTTTCATCGTATTTCTCCCCCCGGAGGTTCTCCATCACGTCGATGACCGCTGCCGAACTTTCAATGATTTCCAATCCCTGTTGCAGTAGCCCGGCTTCCAATAGTACCGCCTTGAGCTCTTCGTGAGGTGGCGGTTCTGCAGCTATATGGCGGTCATTCAAAACGTGTCTCGCTTGTCGCACCCACTTCGTTGCCCTGTTCAAAGCCGTTAGCTGCCTATTACAACACTCAACTCATGTCCCCGAGGGGGTTGCTTGTCTTACTTATGGTGCAGTCGCGCGAAATGTGCTACATATTTCGTGTAGTGGTGTAATATGGCAGAGTTGATGCGTACTTGGCTAGTAATCGCATCGATATTATCAAAAGGCTTTGGATCATAAAGCTCGACATCTACAAGAAACGTGTCCTCGAACGACATTAGACAGTGGTAAGTTGCCAGCAGCGAATAGTTCATCAGCAACCCTTTGTCGAAATACAAAAGTGGTGCTCTTTTTCGCTGTTGGACCTGCTCTTGGACTTTGCCCGTGAGCTTTCTCATTGTGGCCTGGAAGAAAAGCCATGACTGGCCGGTCATTGTCTATTTGAAGCCATCACAGTCAGCTCTGAGTCCATGTCCGATAAATACCAGAGGCAATGCGTTGCATTTTCTGGGGGCTCGAGATTCAACGCACCTCGGCATAAGCCATCAGGATCCCGTACAGCAACATCAAGTGCTGATCACTGCTCTCGGGAGATGTGAGAACGTCCAGGAACTCCTTCAACTTATATCGGTCCTGAGCTATGATCGATGCTGCTGCCTTTTGCTTATTTTCCAAGGCTGTAGTTTTGGAGTATTCTAAGCATATTTTGCCAATTGTCGTCACGACGGCACGGATTGGTATTGACGTGTCGAGATACGTCCGCATGAATGAAAGCGAAAAGACATCGGTCATGGGTGATGGCGAATCGCCCACGAACGCGAAGAAAGCCATGGTAATATCAGCCGGTAAAGGCTCCAAACTTCCACGTGTCGAACTCAGACATCCTGGCGTTGTGATCTTTGACTCAATGGTCGCGTTGGTGGTCGGTGAGCTTTCGCTCATGGATGAGGTTGCGGAACTTGATTGCGACCTTTCCCTCGCATGCCGCGATTGCCGGCAATCGTACTGTGATACTCGTCAACGACCGTTTCCTCATGTCATCCCAAGTCGCGTTCCGCTCCACTTACCGCGGCCGGCAATTTGCGACACGAAAGACATCGTCGTCGCCCAGGCGATGACTTGCTATGGGGCCCGCTTGGCTTGCTGACTCTGTATCGATTCATAATCGCGCATGACCCCACCATATGTGTTCAGCTCAAGTTAGCTGCCAAACGGCATCAGGGCAAGGTATGAGATGGTCCAAATCCAACATCAACAACAAACGCGCCAGGTGCCATTTGAAAGCCGTGACACAGAAAGGGGGGTCGAACTTAGCCCAGCCAAAGTGCCGAAAGTCTGTCGAGGTGGAAGAGTGGGAAAAAAAAGTTTGGGGTGCCGGTCGGCGATCCTGAAGCTTTGGCCAGCGAGCAGCTTCTCTGCCATGGAGGCGGGTTCGCCCGACAATTGGAGGCTTTCTCACCACGTGTGCATGAATTTCTTCTGACCTTGAAAGTTTCCAACGAAGTTGAAGTGAGCTGTGAAGCTCCTTTGGCGGCCAAAGGTGGGCAGGGTTACCATGTCCCGAGACCCGAGAAACTTGACCCCGGGGTTAGCTCCCCTACTTCTGTTCGATGGCAGAATGGTGTGGGCGAGGATGAAGCACGGCGGATGAACTTAGACTTTGGGCCGACTGCTCTGCCGCAAGGACTAGCGCGACGAAACGAATGGAAGGGGGAGAAGGGGGATAGGTCCTCTGTTCCCTGCATTGTGCCTATCCGTGCGGTGCTTGGACCGCGGTTTGTCCAACACAACTTGCTTGCTTAAGTTGGGCACAGGATGATATGAAGTAAAGGTCCATCTTCGTCCGCAGTTGGGGTTTTCCGACCTGGCAGGGGTAGCGAGCTCTCCGTTCTGTGCGCACTTCCATACGGATAGGCTTGAAGCGGGAAGTGGGCAATGATTTAAGGTCATGAAGCTAGAATATCCGGTCCACGGATGCTAGATTTGACTCTCGCGATGGCACGGCTTTGGGACCAGCGGCTTCCGAGGATTGGACGAAGTTGAGTCATGAAAGTCCCAGCCCGCTATGGAGCTGCCCGTCATCGTCGCTCAAACAATTCTTAAATGTGCTGCGGTCTCCGACTGCCCCCGGCTATTGTGACAATACCCGGTGTCGTCATTACACATACCGGCCGCGCGAGGTCTTGCATATGAAGAGTATCCCGCCGGGTGTGATCTGCAAACTACAAGCAGACACAGCCGAGCGCACCTGTGAATGACTGTAAGCTTGTGAGCTTCTGAACATGTGCTTGCCGTACCTTAGGTGAAGAGTGTACCGTCGTGGAAAGTGGCCAGATGCGATTGTTCCAGTAATTGCGATAGGCAACTTGCAAGTAAGTGGAAGTTTCAGGTTTGGAATACTTAAACATGAGAATAGCAAAGGACTGTACTGGATGCGGGCCACACCTTGATTGAAGTTTCGACAAGAGCTCACCAAATATCCAGCCTTGATGTCGTACAACAGCTTGTGAATCATATCGCGGTCTACCGGCCACAGCTACTCTACATGTAATGGCTATATCCGTAGTTTGGATACTGCCCGACATCCACATCATAGCCACTGTACGCGTACGACGTGGCCGGCCCATCACTGACACCAACAAAGCCACCACCCGCGGCGTCATCATTGCTGGGGTCGACTAGTTTGCCACCCTTCACGCGATTCGCAAGCTCTGTGAGCTCTTTGAGTAGGACACCTGCTGAAATGACTTTGAAACTATCCAGTTGCGATGCTCGATGTCCGCGCTCGGTGTCGGTACTCGGCAGCAATGCCACCATGAAGCAAGCGTACGACATCTCTAGCGCATCCTTGTTCGGTGCCAGGAGTCGTTCCAGGTCATCGTCAATCTGGCTGGTACCTCGTGGTGCGGGGTTGCTGTGTATATCACCAGGTTGGGAAGCCTGATCTGCAGCATTGCGGAACTTGCGCCGCATTTGTTGCACCATGAGGTCGGCTAGTCGATCGAACTCTTGCTTGAGCTTCATCGAGTTGTCCTTCTGACGTCGAGTCTGCGCGCCGGTCTTATTGAAGATTGAGCCGCAAAACACCTCGACTTCTGTTAACTGCTTCAAGTGACTGTCGGAATACGTCGTCATGGCACTGAATAGGTTATCTTCGTATCTGTAGTGAGAGTCAGCGGGGAAAGTCATGGAAGTTGCTACACCATATTATGTCACAGAGCAACTCACACGTCTCGCAAACTTTTCGCCTCCTTGAGCTTCGTTTCCCAACTCACTCGCCCATGAGTATAGTCCTTGATCTTTCGCTGTATCAGGCCGACAAATTGATCCCAAACCGAGGGGCCCGTCTTGGCAATGGCTCTCTTGATCTCTTCATCCCAAATCTGCTTTTCGTCGACATTGCGATAGAGCTCGCCGAGAATTTTGTCTGATTTGTAGTATCGGTACGTTGGTGCGAAGCCGTCGTCATCGTCGTCGACTGCCTCGTCTTTACCGAGGAAGTCGATCTGCGTTCGATCATACAGCTGAGCAGGCGGAGCGGGAGCAAGGCTGTGAGGTGGTGTCAGCAGTAGTAAGCTCAATCGAGTTGCAGTCTATACTTACAAGTCCGGGCGAAAGACGGGTGCCTTTGGGATTTCTTCCCGCGCGACTGGGATACCCGTCTTCGAAAAGTCCACAGCGGTCGAATGCAAACTGGCTAGTATGATACAGTCCGAGCTCAACGTGCCATCATGGTTTTTGTCCGCGAGAATGAGATGTCTGGTGGCAATCATACCGAGTACGTCAGACTTCATGAAGTCAACAAACCAGTTGGCCATATCTTCTCTCGTTACCGGTCGACCGAGTGGCTCCGGTGTTACTCTGGGGTAGTCGGCAGCTCCGCATACCACTCGTGGTGTAGCTTCTTGGTCCCAGATAATGTTATACAAATCGCCATCAAGATCACCGCCACTAAGCTGACTAGGCAAGTCGCGCTCTCCACACTGGCTAAACGCGATACAGTTGCGAAGATTCCGTAGGGGATGGCCTGCGGGCGGTATTCTCACCATGGCTTGCTGGATGTCGCCGGGGTGAAGAGCTGGCGACCGCGTCACGAGGATCAAGGTACCATCTTTGATAGATTCGGCAATAGCTGGTTTCCCCGGTCTTCGGTAAGTGTCTAAACACATGTAGACCTCGCCTTCTTTGAGGAATCTCGTCTCATCCATGATGCCAAAGAGTGTGGCGCCCTTGGGAACGGGTATTCTGGCTTTGTGCTTGAGCAATCGCAGTTCTCGTAAAACAACTGACTCGACTACTGCTCTCAAGAAACTGTCTTGCCGGTAATCTATGTCGTACTTGTCAAGGCTCTTGATGAAGGTCGACAAGAAGAAACTTGTGCCGATACCCTGTAGATGCAAGAACGTTCCCGTGTTGTAGGCATCAGCCGTGACGGCCCGAAGTCGATCAAGCTCCATCTTCTGCAATCGGAGGAACCATTCTCTGGACGTGCCCAAGTCCTCCAAGATCTTGATCAATTGACGATTGAGCACTAGTTTGAGAGGTCGTGATGCCACGTCACAGATTTCGAGATTCTCCCAGTCTTCGCTGGGAAACTTCTCCATGGACTCTTTCCGAATGCACACCGCTCGACCCTGAAGCCTTGTGTCCAGAGATAGCATTCCCTTGACACCTCCCCAGCGAATCTGCAGACAAGTGGAAATCAACGAGCCTCGTGGCAAGCGCGGCCAAATCAGCTCGAGAGCTTCGCGCGAGATTGTGCCTACGCCATCGCTGAAAACTCGTTCAGTTTCACCTTCCATTGATTTAACATCCGGTATGTAGTAGCGCTTGATATCAGCCTCGCTGATAGAAATGAAGGATGGCGTTTCCGAAAAGGCCTGTCCGATGCGAGCCGCGCACTTGGCCGGGATCTGTATCTTGTTGAAGTCACCTATCGATTTGATGATGTTTCCGTACAATTGCAGTTTGTTCCAATCGTCCACGAACGGAGCTGAGAACCAAGCCGAGTGGGACCGCAGTGAGGAGTGGGAGAAACCAAGGAATCCATAAATTCGACCGGCAACTTCCAGGCCCTTGCCGAGGATGCTCTTGTAGCGTTCAAAGATCTTATCGTAGGAAACCTTGCCGGTGAAAAATAGATCACTACCGTCCTCGTCGGCGAATGTGACTCTCATGAAGTAGTCCGTCTGGTTTGGGTACTTGCGGAGGATGCGATTGAGAGGCTCCAAGTCGGGACCATGCAAGGTAACTCTCGTGGGGGTCACTGTAGCCTTGAAAACCCAGGCATGGTGATCGGTTATCTCAGGCTCGAGCAGGACATCTCTGAATTCCATGTTAGTTTCCGATTGTAGGCGCTTCTCAATGGAAAGAAGATATTTGAGGATCTCGTTGGGGTCTAGTTCGCTCGGGTCGGTGTTATGACATGGGTAGGAGATTCCATCCTGGCCAGTGCCATGCAAAATCTTGAACGCCTGCTCGGAAACGGGCTTCGGTCTGCCCTCTAGTTTGGCGCTTCGGAAACTTTTCTCGAGAGACACCAACATTGTGTTAGCACTGCGTGGATGTAAAAAGTTGTTGAAAACCAGGGACTGCAGTTGGAATAAGATGCCAAACGGCAATGCCTTGGCGGTTCCGGCCTTGACTAGACCATCATAGAATTTGGCCCACTCAACGTGGTAGTCAACTCCGTTGAGGATGGGCATCTGGTTCAGAGTGACCCTTGAGTGCGCAATGGGGATGATCTCCTTCTTCTTGAGGCTAATCATTTTGTGATCGAAGTCGGGTCCAAAGATTCCCAGCTGATAGACGAGACAGGTTCCCGCACACTTCGTGTGCTCCTTGCTGTTGGATAGGCCGAGACTGCGAGTGGATGACTTTCCCTGAGGTCTCTTGGATTCATCGATCAAGCCTAGACGTTCCATTTGTTCTTCCAAATCGGACTTGGTTTGATAGAATCGTGGTGGTTCACTCAGGAGAAGGGTAAAAGTGGATGGAGCAGAGGTGTGTATCATCTCGACGATGGAGGAGTGAGAGATCTCGACTTTGGCGCCTTGTTCGAGCTTTAGAATGAGCATTCTCTTGCCAAACTTTGCGAGGCCTCTTTGAGAGAAGCGGCATTGTTCGTTGAATATCAAGGTCTTGTCACGCTGAACAGAGTTGTGACCGCAAGCCAGGTGGCTAACTTGGAATACGATGGGGTCGTCGGCAGAGGGAGCGTCTTGTTGTTTCCGCTGTCTGTACTCCTCCTCCAGGCGATGCGCAAGGCTCTTTATCATGAATGGATCGGGTGGTCTGTTGCTTGGGGCGACCCAGACGGGGGTGTTCATAAGAAAAAGGTTCGCTTTTGCTCGTTGGTTTGGAGGCTTTCCTCCCCTCGGTGTAGACTTGGATGTTGCCCCGTCGTCAGGGAGGCTCTGTTTTCCATGGCGCTTCAGAAATCTCTTTGCGTCTGCTGTGTTGAGAAAAGTCACCCAGCCCTTGTTATTTTTGCTCTTTGACGAGCACGCCCATTCAAGGATGCCGAGAGCATTCATGTGCGGCCTAAGCTCCTTCTCCAGAGTCCGATCCGTCAGGTGCCTAGGCACGTTGGTCAAGTAGACCTCCATGGCAAGGCCGCGATGATTAGTAGTACAGTATGTTCAACTTGAAGCTACGAGATGAGGCTTAGACCGAGGACGAGGCCGAAGTCCACGAGGGTCCGCGCAAGACGCCCAGTAGTGGGGCGGGGGTAGGTCAGGGGCTAGTAATGGAAACAATGTGAGTTTCTCGAATGATGACCTCAGAAGTAGAAGCCAGGTAGCATCAGGTGCCGGAGTTGTCGAGGGAAGATGGTGAAATGACGTTGGATGTGCCTGAGAGCAGCTTACATCTGGAACGGGTGTCAGTTATCCTAGGTGACACATCACACGTTGGAAAGCAACGGCGCACCCTTCTATTCATGTCTTCTGCCAGTCAAATCCGAGAAGTACGCCGAATGAGATGATTGGATACAGGCAGAACGGCACGGCAGAGCAAACAGACAGAGACTGCAGGCTTGCGTCGGCTCTGAGTCGACCTGGCGGACCCTGTTTGCAGTGGCTGCAGCGATTGTGGAAGAAGCGGTGAAGACTAAATAGAAAGAGGAGTGGGAGATGGCAACGCGAGAGAAGTAGTGCAGATTACTGAAGAATTGATGAGTGCGCTGTTCTTATATGTGCGCTCGCATGTAAGGAGAAGCTTGAGCTCCCCGGACACGTTTGATTGCGAGAAGCTTCAACCGTCGAGAGCTCTGTCTGCGCCGCGCTAACCGCTTTGAGCAATTATTGCCCTAGTCCCAAAAGAGAGCGGCCCTTCTTCGCTTAATCTGCTACGGGTCAGGGGGACCACGTCTCAGCCAACCAGAAGGAGAATTCCGGCGATCAGTGGCTGGCCTCCGGCATCTGCCGCTACCCCTCCAGCGTGAGGGTGGTGGCTTCCTTCAATCAAGCTGGCGACGGCGTGAGGGGCAGGAGCGAGCGGGAAGAAGGAACCTAGGGAAGCCACGGGTGGCCATGGCGATGGATGCACCTGCCGTCTGATTCTTCAAGCTGTTGACATTCCGAATTGAACGGGCAGGCAGACAGGCAGAGTTCAAGCGAATGAAAAAGTGAGGAGACTGAAAGCATAGGTACGGATAGGTACGGATAGGTAAGTGGCAAGGCCCTAACGCTTTCTACCGAATTCTAGCCGATTGCCAATTCCGTCCCAAACCTCGACGCCGTTTCCCATTCCATCTACTCATTTCGCACGTGTCGTTGAAGAATGAGATGCTTTGAAGAAAGACTACTAGTTCTTTGATTGAGAGATGCCGAGTCTTGTCTTGTCTGCACCAATTCGGATGCGACAAGTCATCATTAACAATCAGTCAAGGCCTTTCAACGAAACGGTCAATGACTACCACCGATATCGCACAATGCACAAGCTCCTGGAAGAATCATCAATCGCGTGCCAGCGATGCGAAAGGCTCAGGCAGAACGCTTTTCCGCCACAACGCGCCAGAATATTTATTTCAACAATGGCTGTTGCCGATATCCCTCCTCCCCACGATTACCGTCTCTTGAGTTGACAAGCCGCGAGTTCTCTCAATTGCATCTGCTTACCGAGATAAACCTATCCCTCGAAGAAACTACCCAAGGCCTCTCCCTCGAAAGCTTGTCTTGATTGACCAGCCGGCATTGACTTGAGTCGCCGTCGCGCAGCTTGCCGTGTCAAGATCCCGAACGCGCTGGACCCTGTCTCCAATATCGACCCCGCGTTCGTCATCAGCCCCGCCCCGAGCTTCCCACGGCACCCGCAGTCACCTTGACAGAATACCTACCTCCCCTGCCGACTTCCCCCGGCTGTTTGTGTTTGCTCCTTCGCAAAACATTTCAGACTTCTCAGTATATCTCAACCGAGGCTAATTGAGTCGAAAATCCGCCATGGCTCCCCCAGGAATGCTCTACGTTACTATGCAGCCGAAGCCTGAACTGGCTATCGAGCAATTCCACGAGTGGTACAACAACGAGCACGGCCCAACCCGCCTGCGTCTCCCCCAAATCTTCACCAACGGCCTGCGCTACCGCGCCAACGACGGCAAGGAGCCGACGTACCTGGCCTCCTACGATGTGACGGACATGTCCCACCTAGAAACACCCACGTACACCACACTACGCGCAAACAGATCTGCCCGTGAGGCCGAAACCATTGGCCAGGTGGCCGTCACCAGATACTTCTTCGACTTGGTCATTGAGCAAAAGGCCCCTCTATTCATCCCCATTGAGCAGCTTTCTGACGAGGAAGCCGAGGGCATCGAGCTCGTCGCCATTGAGACCACTCTTAAGGACGAGTCCGACGAGGCCGAGTTCAAGAAGTGGTACGACGAGGAACACATCCCAATGCTGTCCAAGGTTCCGGGCTGGCTGAGGACCCGTCTCCTCAAGATATCCTCCATTGGCGACGGCGTCGGCAGCAAGACTACCTTCTTCGTACTCCACGACTACGCCCGTACAAATGGCTTGGGTGGTCCTGAACACAAGGCCTCCACGGCCACGCCTTGGGCGGCAGAGATGGTGAAGAAGGTCGCGGGCATGAACCGCCGCACTTACTCTCTCTTTTACGTCTTTGGTCCCGCATCTCGCGACCTGGAGAATCTGGCGAAGCTGCCGGCCTCGGCCTCCACTTTCACGGCTCCGGATGGCAAGACTACGACTGTCCCCGGAAAGGACGAGGCGATCGACTCCTACATCACGGCCGAGGACCAACTTTCGATCCCTTACAAGCTGGAAGGCAACACCTCGCCAAAGGCACCTACCGTAGCATTCTGCAATTCTTTGTTGACGTCTCTGCACATGTGGGACCCAGTCGTCAAGATCTTGAAGGAACAGCGCCCCGACTTGCGCATTCTGCGGTACGACACACGAGGTCGACACGCGATCCCGGCCCCGCCTGTGCCGGCAACGCTGGACTTGCTTGCCTCTGACCTGCGCACCGTTCTTGACGCACTTCGCATCCCCAAGCTGCACGCCCTTATCGGAGTGTCGATGGGAGGCGCAACAACAACCAACTTTGCGCTCAAGTATCCCAACAGGCTGAAGAAGTTCATTGCCTGCGATTTCAACTCGACCTCAAGTGCCGCCAACACCCAGGCCTGGAAAGATCGCATCGCGGTTGCGGAGGAGAACAGCGGAGCCGGAATCGCAAAGCTGGCCGAGCAAACGGTAGGTCGTTGGTTCCATCCAGCCACGATGGAGAAGGAGAGCGTCGTGAAAGGCATGACGGAAATGGTGGCAACCAACAACGTAGAAGGCTTCAGATACAGCTGCCAAGCGTTGTGGGATTATGATTTGAGGCCAGCGCTTGGATCCTGCCAAGCTCCCGGCTTGCTGGTTGTGGGTGATGGTGACGGCAAAGGTGCGCTGGTGAAGGCAATGGAGGGCTTCAAGGGTTCATTGGGCGACCACGGCGCCGAGTTGAAGATTGTGCCAAACGCCGGCCATCTTCCCATGTGGGAGAGCCCTGCCGCGTTCTGGGAAGCCATCCAGGCGTTTTTGTAAAACAGTTTCCTTAAAGAGAGTTTTCTCATCGAACGCAACAAAAAGCTTGGCCAAGAATGATTCAATCGAGAGTTTCGCCGCAAACAACTTTGCTGACATGCTCGGCCGGGGTTAAGAATGGACGAGAGGGGCCATTAACGCGATCGATCTGCCGTGAGACACCGGCTGCCCATACCGAACAGAGATGTCCCCTGCAACTCTGCCTAGGCAACTTGCAGCCTGCGGGTGCTAGTGTTCACCGCTGCTGTCGTCATATCGAGCAGAAGTTCTGATATGCAGCGATCCTTGAGAGTGCTGTCAGGGGAGGGGGCTTGACGACCATCAAAGTCTATCTCAAACAAACACTAACCCAATCAAGGTTGAGGCTGGGATCACGATTCGTGGCGCTGCGACCGTTTGGCGACCAGCCCTGTCGGATGCACAGGAATCACGCGCCGCAACGCCGTCTCGGGCGCGACGCTGTGAAGTGCAGCTCACGAATCACGCCAACATAGGGGGAAGAGGGCAGGACTCGACGGTCGCATGCGAGTACAGCGGTTGCGGAATGCGTCAGAGAATTTTGAAAGGATCTAAGTTGAGTGAGACACTGAGAGGGTCTCTTGAGGCTACGACCGCTAGAATCCCGAATGCTCCAGCAGGCTTGGGTCAGCGAGTCGCTTGACGGTTGACAAGTTGACAAACCTGCTGACAGTCGCTAACAGGTATGCGGGCGCCGTTTCATCGAAAGTGCCCACGGACAGACGGGATGGAAAGAATCAGACTAATAATTAACTTCCAAGTAGTTACCTTGACTTAGAATATTTACTAAAATTCTAAAACTTATACTTAATTAGTACCCTAAAACTAGTACTCTATAATATAAGAAATAAATATTAATATTTTAATAAATATAAGGGCTACAGATGTTTCATACTTGGAATATTTACTAAAGGGAATTGATATACCGGCGTCGCAAATTGATACACCGGCGTCGACCTTACACCGGCGTCGCTGTTCGACCTTTTGATTGGCTCAAAAAAATATTGTTAGTGCAATCAAATTCTGCCAGATACCCACAAAGTATCTTAACCGTTTTTGTTCCTTTGCTCACTTTCCTCTAAGGTTACATCATCAAGCCTCTAAGTCTGACTTATGCTATTTGCTTACAATGGCTTCTCTAACTGGAGTTAGAGATGTTCCACAAGGCCAATCTCAAAGCAATCCCCCTACTAATAAACCTCCCCCTATACGAGAGCGACCATTGTTTGAGTACGGCCTCCCACCATCATCTGGCCAACCACCATCATCTCCCTCCTCAGAAAGCAGCCGCCCTAGCGTTAGCCAATTCTATGGAGTTGGTGATCCTTAAGGGCAGCGCGACCTTATTACCGAGCTCCTAGCCGACATACTACAAGACACGCGACCTCTTGTATACGATTACCCTAGTATGGAGCCTACGCTATATCTTACTCGTCATTTCCCTAAAGGAACAATAAAAACCCAGCGGATTACTCTCCCACGACTTTCTCCAGAGCATAGCCCCTCTCCTCCCAACGAACAGTCCCAGCAACCTTCCTATCCTACAACAGAGTAGTTCAATAGTGCTCTTCAGCTTGTTCTACAGGTTGTTGGGACTAATCAACAGCTAACAACGGCACTCCTCCGACAACAAGAGTATGTCCGTCAATGGCAAGAAACATGGGGTCCCCAAGTCAACCCACCACCCTATTCACCCCCACGGCAATCCTCCCCTCAAAGCGAAGCGTCTTTCCGAACTGCAGCCTCCTACCACACTCTAAGCAACCGATCCTCCTCTCCTCCTATAACCGATCCTCCTCTCCTCCTATAACCGATCCTCCTCTCCTCCTATAACCGATCCTCCTCTCCTCCTATAACCGAAATCCCAAACCCACCGATTCCTGGCGATCCAGAGCAAACCTATGATGCCCTCTTCGACCGAGTTAATACCTTTGCAAGAGCTAACGTGAATGATAAGCGAGTGAGACAGACAAGTGAGTGAGACACAAAACTGCGCCGATGAGATAAACTGGCTTCCATATCAACATCAACAGCATCAATTCAATTCAAACTACTCATAATCCTCATCTTCAGACATCTCTTCAATAAACTGGCACGTTCGTGAATTGTGTCCCGGGTGACCACAAACGCCACACCGTCGCTGACCTGTCTCGGCCCTCAGTTTGCGACCACTAGTACGACGCACTTCCTCCTGAACCTGCGCAGTCACATCTTTCTGTGACTGTATATCTGCTGCGTCAGCTACAGTAAGACTTCCTCCATGTTGTAGGCGTGTTTTCTTAGTTCTCCGTCGTCGACTGAGTTGGTTATTCTCGTCTCTAAGAATCTGTACCTCAGATCTAAGTAAGGCTACTTGGTGCATGATGCCTCTTGTACCTTTAGAAAGTCGTTCAACAGCCTCGCAAATAGAGGTTGGGGAGCTGCTTTGGTGACGAGTGATCCGACTCTTAATAAAGTTGGATTGAGAGCTTGCCTCTACTGGGTTGTTTGGTGTCCTTGAAACCCAAGGCGGAGGTGTCTGTGGTAGTGATGCTGGAGGCGTTGGAGTGTGTAGCCGGATATCCAGCTTTGATAGGACGCTTTCTGCACTCAGAGGAACAAGCCCAGCTCCTCTAAAACCCCCTTGGATGTTTTTTTCAGTCATCGCTTTACTAAATGCGCTGCGATATGCAGGAAAGAAGTCCTCCTTTGAGATGTGGGTTACGCCCCGCCGCATCTTATCCTCAATTTGTTGCCCATACGCCGTCTTTAGCGGACCAAAGCACCCAACGTCAAGGGGCTGGAGTAGATGAGACGAATGAGGCGGCATACAAAGTGTAACGATCTTGTTTGCCTTGCAATATAGCTCAAAGTCTGTTGAGTGGTGACTTTCGTGCCCGTCGACGACGAGGAGGCGATATTGGCCTCTCAAACGTGGTTTCGTATGACGATCATAGTGCTGGATCCAATCTAGGCCTCTTTCATTTGTTGTCCATCCGTTTTCTGACGTCGCAATGACCCAGTCGTCCGGGAAACCTGACTCTGTATACCAGGTTGAGAGGTGATATTGGCCTGCAACGATGATGTACGGCGGGACGTTATAGCCTTGCGAGTTGATGGCTTGAATCACTGTAACCCATTCTCGATTACCAGGCTGCGCCATTTTTGTGTTTGAACGCCTTTCAGTACTTGTGACAACCATGCCAGATGCAATCTGGCCCATCATAAAGCCAGTCTCATCAAAGTTGTAGATATCAAACTCATCGATACCATACTTCGCGATTGTGTTCTTCACAAGAGCGAACCAGCCGCGAATAGCCTCTGCATCCTCGCATTGGGCCCTCTTGTAGTCGTACCTCCGAAAAAACCGCGTCCGCAATTGTGGTTGTCGTTTGACGAAGTTTAAGGCCCAGCGCTTCCCAACCGGAGGCGCGTCGCGATCAGCAAGCAGTCGATCAGCCATTTCTTCCACACCACGGATCCGGGGAGGGAATGATCGGGCATCTAGATCGAGAATGTGATCAACTAACGTCTGCTCTTCTAGCAAAGTAAGATTCCTCGAGTTCGGTATCCTGTCGCTTCGAGATGTAGAGCCCTTCAATCGTCGACTCAATGTTGCATGGCTGACCGAGTAGATCGTAGCTGCAGCCCGTGCACTAAGCTCTGGATTGATTCTGATAGCTTGAAGGGCCAGCTGTATGCCTGACTCATTACTTCTGGATGCCATGATGTGTTGTGGAAGAAACGTCTCCATTTGTGTTGAAGCATCATCGGCGCAGTTTTGTGTCTCACTCGCTTGTCTGTCTCACTCGCTTATCATTCACGTTAACCGATCTTTATAAACTTTTAATATAAATTTTCTTATTACTATTAAAATAGCGATTTTAACGATCATTTAATAAAGGGAGAGAATAAAATAAAATAAAAAAGACTAAAAAAAAGGGCTAAGGTTAAATAGTACGGAAACCTAGAGGTAGGGTTACGTCTATATATACTGTAATAATCTTGTAGTAATGCAAAATGATAGTATTAAACAGTGGACTGATGATTGACTGATCAGTCAACGAACCCGTAGAACGAGATGGAATCGCCAATGACCCTAGAGTCTCGGCGCATTAAAGAAGAAACGGTCTGGCGGCAGTTGTCTTGGCGAGTTCATCTCGACTACGCGGATCGACGCATGGAAATGCCCGAAACGAGATTCACTCACACTGCGACGGGCCAGCATGGCTCAGCAGCGCGCCACGCTGGATCCATATTCCATAGTGAAAGGGGGCAGACGGCGGGAAGTAGAACCTAACAAGGCAAGGCAAAGAAAATTCAATGGGAAGAGAAAAAAACGTGGGCGCGCCAGAACTGTGGATCAATACTCAGGGGAATATGGCGCCAGGAACCACACCTTAATTATTCAGACCATGCGGAGAAGTGCGAGACCGAGGCACTTGCACAACTCACCTCTTGGAGTTTTGCTGATAGAGAGAGTCGCAGAGAGTGAGAGTGAGAGAGACCGCAGTCTAGGGATAGGGGAGAGACTAACGAGAGAGGTCTGCATCACCGGCGAACATCCGCACTCGGACTATGTCTTATGGTTGTCTTTGAGACTCACTAGACAAGAATGGGGCTACGGGGATATGCATATTTTCTTTGGCGAAGATGGGGCGTATCCGAAAAGTCGTCACCATCAGCCCCTGAGCTTAGGACTCATCATCTTCGGCTCCGAACCACTTGGACTGTGGACATTCACAAACCACGATATCTTCGAGAAGCTCAGCAAGACAAGCAGCTGCCAGCAACACAAGGCAAGACAAGGCACGCACTGGCCTTGGGTGGAGAGTGTGGTGGCATTTAGGTAACGCGCATCCGATCCTCCTATGATTTACCTTCCCATATTAAGGGCGGCAGGAGGGTCTGTTTCAAGCCCGGCGCTACGTCTGAAATTCCGGTGCGCCCGTGCTGCGCCGTATCTGTACAGTTCCCGTCGGCCACCCTCTCAACGCGGCAACTTGGCCCATGACTAAGGTCGATAGAGTCTTC